TTTGGAACATAAAGGTATACCATTGCTGCCTTGGTATGTTAGCTGTCTCATATGCCAGTTAGAGGTGAGGCCAAGCCTGTGACTATTGCTTCTCAGAGGCTGTTGCTTCTTCCTAGTTGGGTCCTCTCAGGCACCTCAGCACAGGGGCAGGCTCACCCAGACTTAGTTCCACTAACAAATGTGGCCCCAGAAGACCCCCTTTCTACTTACTTGTGTAAATAAGAGACTTCCAACTCCTTTTGTGATTAGGATTCCTGAGGAAAACTTGCATTTTAGCAATAGCTTTTTATAGCTAATAGTCTTCACTTAAAAAAAAAAAAACAGCTTTGTTGAGCTATAATTCATATACCATACAATTCACACATTTAAAGTGTACAATTCAGTGGGTTTTAGTCATTACTAAAAATGAGTAAACAGAGTGTGAAACCATCACCACAATCTAATTTTAGAACATTTTGTCCCCCTAAAAGAAATCCTGTACCCATTAGCAGTGACTCCCCACTCTCCATCCCCCATCCCAGCCCTAGGCAGCCACTGATCTACATTCTGTATTTGCCTATTCTGAACATTTCCTATGAATGGAATCACATAATTGTGTTTGTTTTATGAATGGCTTCTTTCACTTAGCATCGAGGGTCAGATATCGACACTGTAGCATGTATCAGTCCTTCAGTCCCCCTTATGGCTGAATAATATTCCATCATATGGATTTGCCACATTTTATTTATCCATTCATTAGTTAATGGACATTTGGGTTCTCTCCGCCTTTTATGCTGCTATGAACATTCGTGTACAAGTTCTTGTGTCAACTTGTGTTTTCATTTCTCTTGGGTATATACCTAGGAGTGGAACTGCTGGGTAATATGGTACCTATGTTCAACATTTTAAGAAACTGACAATTTTCTTTCACAGTGGCTGTACCACTTTACATTCCTACCAACAATGTACAAGGGTTCCAATTTATCTACATCCTTGTCAACACTTGTTATTGTCTGTCTTTTTTACCACAGTCATCCTCTTGGGTGTGAGGTTGTATCTCACTGTGGTTTTGATTTGCATCTCTCTAATGACTGGTGATGTTAAACATCTTATTGTGTGTTTGCTTATTGACCATTTATATATCTTCTTTGGAATGTTTTCTACTTTTGACTAATAAAAATAAATAGGCTAATGGAGGAAATTTTATGCCAAATATAAAGGTCTTGGCTAGCAAGGAAAATACAGGACACATTTTCAAATGGAGAACCTCTAATTCAAACACAGAGGGCCAAGGGCTTCAGCTATGAAACTGACACGGAAGTCAAGATAAATAGACTTGTGTGTACATATAGCAGCAATGCACACCACCTTCCATAGCTAAACAACTGTTCATATTTAGGGGTGATGGCAAGGGAAAGATGATTTCATTGAAGTTGTCGTCAAGTTCTGGAAGATTTACTTAATGGGAATACAAAGTAATAATGAACTGAACTTTGTCTCAGTTTTATTAGTAAATCAGTGTGTCTTAGGTTCCTGGGCCTCATCGTCTTCATTGGTAGAGTGGGAGGGTTGGGGTAGATTTTCTAGGCCAACATATTTTACGTATCTCTTTGGGAGTACAGGAAATGTCAGGGAAGAGTGAAGAGGTTAAAAAATATGCATGATTCCTTTCAAAGGGCTTTTTCTTATGATGATGATGGTGACAATGAGGACTTCATAGGTAGATAGAGTCATTCTGAAGAAAAGAGAAGAAACAAAGACTCTGAAAAGTGTATGGAAATCTATTAAAAGGTGGAGGCAGTGTGGGGAAAGGTACCAGTGATAGGAACCATACAGTTGGCAATAACTACTTAGCAAGGATGCCCACTACGCAATGCTTAGGTAGCATTTACTATGTGCTATAGATGGGAAAGAAATGGTATAAATTCAGAAAAGAAGCAAGGGGAAAGACTTCAAGGATATGGAAGAATGAAAGATCTGCTCTGAGGCCATTTTCCCGTATCTCCAAGAAGTAGCAGCTGGTGGTGGCCATCATTATAAGGAATCTTCAGGATAAACGATGACACCTGCCAAGGAACTCCACCAAGACACTCATAGGTCTTGGTAAACACGACCTAATTAATGTTCACAACACCCTTGTGAGGCAGGAAGTAGCATTTCCCTAGTTTTATAGACAGGGAAGTGTCAGCACATAAACATAAGTGATTTGGCCTCTTCACATAGTGAAGCTATGACAGGGCTGGGAATAGGAAGTCCTGGCAATTCAACTTCCAGACTCTCATTTTTAACTTATATTCCAGTTCTTCCCCTTAGTAGAAGTTTTTCCTCTTTTTATAAAATAATATTGGTTAGTATATGCATCCTTGTTTTATGGGCACATAATTACTAGGTGCAGTTATTTCTAAGAATATAAAATCATCACATTTGAGAAGGGGCCTTAGAAATCATCTCATTTAACTCCCTCATTATAATGTTTAGTTTCTCACCAGGGACACAGAACTTACTAGTGCCAGAGTACAAATGAGAGTACCCACTTATCTTTACTCCTGTTGGCCACTCGGGGGTAGTACATTCTTCACGTGGTTTCCCACTGTGTCCTTTTCTGTGGAATGCCAGAAAGTTGTATAAATGGAAAATGTCAGCGTTGGAAGTCCCCATAAAGGCTGTCAACCCCAACAATGCATCTGGCTCTTAAATCTTCTGTGCGGTCTCTCTAAGTGGTTGCCCAGAGTGTGATTAAACACAGCCAGTGATCAGAAAGCCACCACCTGCTAGGCAGCCCATGCCACCTCTGAACTACTGGGACCTCTCCCCCTTTAACAGCCATCAGTCACTGCCTGTCCAGCCTACAAGACATCTCTTATTTGACTCTTTCTGGTCATCTTTATTGCTATCGACTTAATATTCTTTAAGTAAATGTTTATGAAGCCCCATCTATAGATGCCACCAACAATAAAATGGTAAATAAGAATAATCTAACAGAGGAAACTGCATACAAATAGGCACTTTTAATATAAGGTGATAAGGGCTGTTCCCCTAAGATATTAGGGGAACAAGGAAAGTTTATTACTTATCTACCCTATATAAGCACTGAGGATCCAAGACAATACTCCTTGAAGTGATACAGAGATATTCCCTGCCCTTCAGAAGCTTGTAATCTAAAAGAAATGCAGAATAAATGTATAAAAGGAATGCAGAATAAATATATAAATGTTGACTAGTTATCAGAACCCAGGTAATTATATGCTATGAAAATATGGTGTTCCACTACGTCATTTATGAGATGTTACTGCACATAAAGAGATATAGCTGTTAATAAATTTAGTCATGAAAAATAACTCATCAGCAGAGCCACTGAGTTGCACAACTCCAGGAGAGGGGGGCAGCTTCACATAGCTCACCGTGAGAATGGCGGCCCCTGGAACAAACTCCCCTAAGCACTAGATGCTGTACATGGGGTGCATGACGTTGAGCATAAACAGATCAACCCTGCCTGCTCCTTTATAACTTACTGTTCCTCAGAGGAGACAGACATATATCAAATACGTATGCAAATAAATGGCTGACTATAATTGTGACAAGTGCTATGCAAGGAAAAGAACACGGAAGAAGTATCCTTTTAAAAGGGATCAGGAAGAAAATTGCTCTGTGAGGACCTGACATTTCCTCTGAGACCTGAAGGATATACCAGGCAGAGACAGACAGACAGAAGGAAAAGCGTGCAGGCAGAAAGGTGGGAAAGAGTTTGGTGTGCTTTGAGAACTAAGAGAAGAAGTACTCCGGAGGTGAGTGGCTGGGATAAATCAAGAGAGGAGAGGGCCCAGCTCAGGCAGAACCTCGTGGGCCAAGGAGAGGGCTTAGGTTCAAGTTAAATGCAACAGGAAGTGATAGGAGGGTGTTAGGCAGAAATAACTCTGCTGGGGGAACTTGGGAGCAAGAAGGATGGTGAAGAAATCAGTTCGTGCATAGATTCTGCTCAGTGGACGTGTACTGGACTGAACTCCCTATTTTGAGTGAAGATTTTAGTTCTATTTCTTTCCTATTTTGAAAACTTAATATAAATGTTTTCAATTGGAAAATCCTTGCCGTTGTTTGGTCTTTTGTGCTGCCTAAAAGAGATAGTCAAATGACTAACAGTCTCTCAATGACAAAATGTATATGGATCAATAAACACAAATGATTTCATCTACCAGTCTTTTAATGTTCAACTCACTTGAGCCTCGGGCATTGTTTGGATTTTACTGCCATCTAGTGCCTCTGAAAAACACATGTGTATTTGTGTTTCTGAACAAGACACTCCCCAGAACTGTGCGAATGAGCAAACATATTTCTGCTTCTGGAATGGGAGAACCTCTGTTTTGGTTTTACTTATATCGCTTCTAAATCAACATAAAATGAGTCTGGTCTTATTTTGCTCTCGCTTTTCTTTGTTTAGTTATCTAGAGTTTCATTGATCCCTCTGCTTTACACCTTACTGTCTCTAAGGCTTTCCCTGGGGGGACGCCTCAGGAATGCCGTGTGAGGTGGACCAGTGGGCCCACCGCACAAGCGTCTGGCTTTAGGAAGTTAAGTGGGAAGCTGAAATCCAGCCCGTATTCTGTTCCCCAGCTGAATGCAGAGGGGTTGCAGCTGCTCAGGACGGGCATCTTTGCCTAATTTGCATATAGAAGTCAGCAGCAGCCCTGGTGTCACCCCACAATACTCCCATGCAAAATTCAAGGCTCACTGTTCTCCTGAGGCTTCCAGTTTTAGGATTAGTTTTTGTCTTTGATTTAGTCTGTTTTTACAAGGCTCCGAAAGATCGTCACTGGGCCAAAATATAGGATCAAGCTATTGCAGTTTGGTTGGTTTGATTTGTTAACCAAAGTTTTGCATAGACTATTGTGATAATGAATGTTCTTTTTAGAACAGGACTGGGAAGGTACTTGCTTTTGTGTTACTTTCCACACCCTGTTCAAACAGACCAGAACACATTCTCTTCTCCACTGCATCCTTCATTATAATTCTCTTCTTCTTCAAAGGTCCCAAGCCACCCGTTTCCGTTGGCATCAACCAGCTCCTTTTGATAAGCAGCAGACGTGGGCAATAGATAATGTCTATATCGGGGATGGCTGCATAGACATGTGCGGTGGCCATGGGAGGTGCATCCAGGGAAACTGTGTGTAAGTAGATTTCTTTCTTCCTTCTGTTGAAAGCTCCTGACTCATATTCCATTTAGGACATTTTTTTCGGAAACTGATTTTTGAATCACTCCCAAGCTACCTCAAGTTATACATTTTCCCTAAAATATGATATTGAGCTAACTGTGGAATTGATGGATGTTGTATCTTCATTCTTGCTTAGAGATTAGGAACTGAACAATAGCTATCTTGTCAGGAGAAGGCTGAATTATAATTGACTATATTTTACTTCCTTCTGTGTTTCTGTGATACACTTGAGCCTTGAAAATGACATTGGAAGAAGTTCAAGAGTTCAGTATGTTCTGACCAAAAGTAATGCATCATAAGTATTTTTCTCACTGAGGTCTGAATATATGTAAGGATATGCATTTGACGTGGTTTAGTTGCTATTCCTGTGTTGTGTAAGGAAGTATGTAAATGTCTTGCCAATTTACCAGGATTATTTGATGGAGAGGCCTAATATTAATATATTACTTTTAGAGAACCTTAGTGTCTTCAGAAAAATCTAAATAAAGTGTGTGTGTGAGCGTGCACTGTAGACCTCTGTGCTTTATTTTTACGTGGTTTGATGGGATAGTATGAATGAAGGTGCCATTAGAGAATTCATAGTCCCTTCCCACTGATCTCACACACGTGGGAAGTCTTTCCTTTGATTAATGATTTTAGCCCGTACTTAGGATGACCCTTGAGCCCCTGAGCCTTTGGTCAGAGATGACAGTTACTATTCAAAGTATTCTCTGCTGTTTGGAACTTGGCCTCTTGGATCCCTAAGTGGCTCAAAGCCTCTGTTAAAAAGACCAATTTCATAGATTATTAGGACCTACCAGTTTACTGTAGCAGCTGCAACTGTTTATCAGCCATTCAAAGCTGTGTCATGTTGAGGCAGGGCTTTAGTAGATTCTTTAAAGTTGCTTCTTTCTCTCCACCTGTAACCGTAAGTCACTACTTTAGGAAATCCTAGGGGTAGTTAATTCACAGCTTATTTCTAATCTAAAGCACTGTTAAGAGCAGGTGAATTATAGCCAGCTCTGTGAAAATCAGTAATTTTTCATCATCCTAGACTAGGAAAAAGAGTTGGCTTCACTAATTTGAGAACACACTTGCAGGGGCTTTGTTTGATATTGACTTTTCCTTTCTCTTGCTCTACACCCAGCTGTGATGAGCAGTGGGGTGGCCTGTACTGTGATGAACCTGAGACCTCTCTTCCAACCCAACTCAAAGACAACTTCAATCGAGCTCCGTCCAACCAGAACTGGCTGACTGTGAATGGAGGGAAATTGAGTACAGTATGTGGAGCTGTGGCTTCGGGAATGGCTCTCCATTTCAGTGGGGTGAGTGGTTTGGCTACTGGTTACTCATTTCTGCATCCTCTAAGTTCCCCCCAAATAGTTGAGTCTCTTCTGAAATTTAATGGGCAAATCAAAATGCAGAGTTAGTTACCCTAAATACACAACCCTGATCTGAACTTGCAACTTTCTACAAATCAGAAAATACTAATTGTTTCCGGCATTTTTCTAACACAAGTCAGTTGAGACAACTTAATTATTCAGGGCAGTGTCAGCACAGGGCATATTCAAATACACGTTTATAAAGGACTTGAGTGAATTTCCATCCTGGAAGAGAGTACTTGCACAATGTGTGAGGTCTTCCATCTGGATGAAGCTCGTATTGAAAACTCTTGAGCCTGCAACAGATTTGGGATTTAAGGAGCCAAAAATCTGGAAAATGAGCTTCAAGCATTCCTGAATTTATTAACAACAATTAATCCTTTCTATAAATTAGTCAAGAAAGAATAATTGTCAGAAATTACTAGACACTTGTATTTATAGCATATTATCTTGCAAATGACAGGAGCAATGTTGGAAACTTTCTTTGAGAAATTTTATAGCTACTCTACTTTTCTGACCAAGATGACTTTGTTTTAAAGTACAATTTCTCGGCCGGGCGTGGTGGCTCACGCCTGTAATCCTAGCTCTCTGGGAGGCCGAGGCAGGCAGATTGTTTGAGCTCAGGAGTTCGAAACCAGCCTGAGCAAGAGCGAGACCCCGTCTCTACTAAAAATAGAAAGAAATTAATCGGACAACTAAAAATATATAGAAAAAATTAGCCAGGCATGGTGGCGCATGCCTGTAGTCCCAGCTACTCGGGAGGCTGAGGCAGAAGGATTGCTTGAGCCCAGGAGTTTGAGGTTGCTGTGAGCTAGGCTGACGCCACGGCACTCAGTCTATCCCGGGCAACAAAAGCGAGACTCTGTCTCAAAAAAGAAAAAAAAAAAAAAGTACAATTTCTCTGATACCATGATTAAATCAGCAAATTAATTTTTTAAGATAACAAATGTACTGGCAGCTCTTTATTTACCTAGCATGCTCTACCTTAGAGTTTACATTTGTACCAATGAAGTGTATTATTTATATTAAATATTTTAGCCTAGAAGCAACAAGAGGATATATAGCATACAGGATTTTTATAATCATCAACACTAAGAATCCAGTTTTCAGGATTCTCTTCCCAGCTTAGATAGAACTGTAAGTAGCCTAGCTTTTCACACGTGTTCAACTAAGAAATAGCTACCTATGGACATTAATTAATAAGTTAATATAGATGCCATTAAAATCTACCATGAAAGTTTAAATTTAAAACTTACAACTATTATCTCTAATTATAATTAAATAATATGAAACTTTTAGATGGAACCATTTTAAAATTTCATATTAAAATGGTCATTTTAACATGTTATTTTATTAATAGTTGATGCCTTTTAAAAATCTAATAAATGCCTATGAAAAATTAGAAATAGCTTAATAAAAACATAGAACAGTTACTTTAATTCCAGCCCTCATCTTGTTTGTAAAACAAAAAAATAGATAATGTCCTTAGACTATATTGCCCACTCTAAGTAAGTCTTGAATATTGAAATTTCAAAGTTCAGCAAACATTTGCTAGGTAACTACTGTGTATTGGGCACCATCCTAGGAGCTAGCATAGTAAGAGAGATGTTAATGATATCAGTGCTAGAATACCGTGTGACTTGTATTACAAAGGATATTTAAAAGGATGGAAGCCAGAGAAAATCTATAATCTGCAAGCAAGATTCCTTATCACTGTTTTTTTTTTTTCATTCTGCTTCTTTTCCTCAGGGTTGTAGTCGATTGTTAGTCACTGTGGATCTAAACCTCACTAATGCCGAGTTTATCCAATTTTACTTCATGTACGGATGTCTGATTACACCAAACAACCGTAACCAAGGTGTTCTCCTGGAATATTCTGTCAATGGAGGCATTACTTGGAACTTGCTAATGGAAATTTTCTATGACCAGTACAGTAAACCCGGGTTTGTATTCCATTTTACCTCTGATAGCTAGCAGTTGAGCAAAGATGCTGTGTAAGGCCTGCTAGCAGTCAGTCACAGGGGACTGAAGGAGACCTTGAAATTACTCCTTGGTAGAGGATGCCTCTGGGACTGACATGAAGAAAGGTTTCCGAACTGGGTAAATAACTGGTTTGGATTTGTATTTTAAGAACAACTAGTTTTCATATCTCAAGATAAGATGAATTATGCTACCATAATGCCAACAGTGAATAAATAAACCCAGTGAAAAAACCCATAGAAATTAATGAGTATATGATAGTTAATTTCAACAACATTTTGGGAAAATGGAAACAAAAACAAATACTTGTTTATATAGTGTCCAGTTTTAGAGAATTCTGGGGTCAAAAACACAATAAAATGTGAATATGCTTAAGAAGCCTAGAGACTATTTTAAAAGTAAACATATTTTAAAAGTAGTCATTAAAAATATATATATTCTTGAAGGGCCAAAAGCAATAAATATGACCAATGAACGAGAAATGTCAAAGAGGTTGTTAAAAAAGGAAAAGGGCATATTCATTAAAGTAGAAGGAGAGAAGAGGGGGGAGGAGGGTAAGAAAAGAAAGAGAGAGAAAGGCAGGAGGGATATGAGGCTGGAGAGAAGAGGAGAGAAAGAAATGTAGCCCAATCAAGAAACATAGATAATCCCTAGTGCATGACAAGCCAGATGCAGGCTAAAAATTGAGTCAAATAAAAAGAGTCTGATAAATGATCATTTCAATTCAAAATCTCAGTTAAGAATAAGTTCAACTGTAAATGACAGAAAACCCAAAATAACTTAAAAGTTTTTCTCTCTCTCTTATGTAAATTAGATCTCCAAAAAAGTAGTCCAGCACTGCCATGGTGGCTCTACAAGCACCAGTGACCCAGGTTCCTCCTATCTTATTTTTCTGCTGCACTAAACATGTGACTTCCATCTCAAGGTCCAAAAGGGCAGCCGGCCCCTCCACATTTCTGGCAGTAGGAAGGAGGATGGGGCAGGAAGGGTGTGCTGTCTCTCCTTAAGGACACTTCCTGACAGTTGCACGTACTTCCATTCACATTCCATTAGCTAGCATCTGGTCACATAGCCACACCCAGATGCAAGAAGGCTGGACATTTGTTTATTCTGGGCAACTAGTCACCTCGATAAAAAAGATGGGCTCCTGTTATGAAGGAAGTAAAGGAGAATGGCAATGGAGGAAATACCAGCCATCTCTGCCCCAAGCGAAAATTTTAAATCTTGCACTTGCATTAAAATGCAGGACACTGTTAAAGGAATCCATCTCGAAGCTAGTTGGTACTCAGTTTCTGGTGTGAAAAATGTACTCATCTATTAGTAAGAGATAACAGACAAGCCAAGTAACCTGTTTCCTTGGTCTTTATGGAGGAAGACTCTCAGGTTTAAGTTCTTAAACACTTAAGTGTCATAATGTACGTGGAGAAGGGAGTTGTGTTTCTCTAGGGTAAAAGCAGAACTCTAATCTACTTTAGTTCTCTGACAGAGAAACGGATTGACTAAGGTAGGAACAGTGTTCATAATTTATTTAGACTTCCAAGCCGCGTTAGATAAATTTCCACTCCAAAAGTTTCTTAAATGTGGTCCAGGATTTATCAGAGAAAAAAAAGCTAAATTAGAAATAAGAAAGAAAAAATAGAGAGAAAAGATCATTGCATGGGGTGAAGAAGAGTTATTGTGCATCCCTCCAGAAACTGGTAGGTTTCTGATATTATGTAATACATTTTCAAATGTTAATTAAACATGCCAAAGCAATGGAGGTAAATTTTACGAAGCTCTCACAAGGTGAGCATACAAAAAGAAGGTGAAGGTGCAGTGAGTTTCAAAATTGAGATACATGAGGAAATGAACTTTGGAAAAGACTCTGCCTAAAGGGTGATGGTCTCCCAGCTGGTATACCCACCCAGGTGAGGGTCTAGGCTTCACACTTTCTAGTCTACACTTTGCTTCCCTAAGACCAAGATCCAGTAAGCTATCTTCCTGGTCCAAAGGGTGCACAAAATGATGGGCATTGCCAAAAAAAAGTGTTATATTTAAAACCCAAATGTTAGAAATCCAACTAGAAGCATCCTAGCTTGGAATGAGTCTTGGTTAGTCCCCCTCTGGAGTACTGCCCACTACTCTGGCCACTGTACCTCAAGACAAAAAAGAGAAAGGAAAAGTAAAACCAACAAGGAGATACTGTGTAAACAAAACTAACATAATGAAACCTCTTTAATGTGAAAGATAACTACTAAAGCCACTGTCATTGAAGCCCTCAGTTTAAGGGTTTTGCACGGGATGAACTTTGGCTGGTTGGCCCCGTCCTGGAGCACAGACACTAAGAGGCAGCCCTTGAAATTAAAGGGAGGTAGAGTAGCATAGATTTAAAAAAAAATGATAACTTTATGCAGAGAATAGTAAACTTAAAAAAATTATTTTCCCCAATAGGCCTTTTGAATTGTGAATATAAATGCAAAAGGGCTTGATACATTTTTGGGTTTTAATGCACAATTGTGATTAAGGAGTATTTTCGACATTATTTCTAGTTTATTAAGGTTCATATTGGAGTATGGAGCCACGTTTTTCCATGTCTGTCCTTGGTGATTGAGTCTGGGATAGCATGATGGGCGTGTAAGCCCATAGTTCTTACCCGGCGTTTCTTGGTATAATGTTTTCAACAAAGCATATAAACAAAGTCAGTGTCCCCACCACAGACATTGGTAACATACCTGATAACCTCAGGCTGAGGGCCCAAACGTTTTGCCACAATCCAGTGTCCATATTCTAAGCCAATTGCTGGCACTCATGGGACTAGAGTGAAAACAAGGTGCCAGGGGGAGGAAACACATGAAACCAACCTCTAGGTGACAGAAAAAAAGTCAATATTGGCTGATGTCTACCAAAGTGTATATACTCTAGGCCTTCCGATACCCCAGATATGCAGAAAATTGTGGAGTCCCTCTAAGGCCTGCCTAAGGACAGGTAGAGTAAGTAGGTGGTTCCTGGATGCTTGAATTTGTTCACATTCCATTTCCCCAATTTAGTGACTACTGAGATTTCATAAAATGAAGCCAGATAATCATGGTTTTTAAAAATTATTTTAGCTAATGTCCTCCCCTCCCCCACCACGTGCCATACAATATCTTATTGCTGGCTGTAAATCTTTTCCTCACTTGAGATATTTGACAAGGGTTTTTCCCCCACCCCCCACCCCCATCATTTTTTTATAGATTTGTGAATATCCTTCTGCCTCCTGATGCTAAAGAGATCGCTACTCGCTTCCGCTGGTGGCAGCCAAGGCACGATGGCCTGGATCAGAACGACTGGGCCATTGACAACGTTCTCATCTCGGGCTCTGCCGACCAGAGGACCGTCATGCTGGACACGTTCAGCAGCGCCCCGGTGCCCCAGCACGAGCGCGCCCCCGCAGACGCCGGCCCGGTGGGGAGGATCGCTTTCGACATGCTAATGGAGGACAAAACCTCAGGTGAGTTGTGCACTCGTGCTAAATAAAAATCCCGTGGACGTGCAGTCGTTTGGACTGGAGTCTTTTCAAAAGAGTGAGTCGTGGACTCTTTTCAGGTGCTCAAACAGTGTAGACACCATGAAAAGGGGATCAGCCTTTGGTTTCTCCCAACCTTCCTGGTTGACCTGTAATTAAAACTTGTCTTTCATTCAAGCCAGCTAGTGTGTTTTAACAGATAGCATTCTACAATTTTATTTGCAGAATACTTTTCTTAGAAAACGTTCATTTCTGTGTATCTTGTTTTCTGCTTTGGGTAGAAAGCCAACATTTCCTAGTCATTCATTTTAATATCTACTCATCAATGCTGGTGAGCTGGGAAGGACCCTCTCTATACTGTTCTTATTGTTAATGTCTTTTCATTTTATGACACTATTCTGGTTACCTTTTTTTTAAAGTGGTATTTTTTATTAAGTATGTATCTTTGCTATGCCATATACTTGATTATACTACATAAAAACATAGTATCTTCACATAAAACAGTGATATTTAACTATGGATCTCATACCAATATGGTATCCAAACAGTACAAATAGATATAATATTGTACGACTATAGATTCAGACAGTGGGATCATGTGTCACACCCAACTCAGCTGTAGCATCTTGCACAGAAATGACAATCTGGATAATTTAACAATAATAAGACATAAGAACCTTCTAGTGGAATGGCATATGCTAGGGGAAAAAATTGAAATTTGAGAAATTTTAATAATTTAAAATGCTTTTGTTGTGAAAATAATACCTGTTCAAAATGTGAAATTGAGAAAATACAGAAAATCATGAGGATGAAAATAAAAATCACTCAGGGGGTAACCATTGTCAGTATTTTGGCATATATTTTCAGAGTCCTTTTTTTGTATGCATTTACATAAACGTATTTTTAACAAAATTACAACCTTAAATTATATATTTTTGTAGCCTTTTTTCATTTAGAATTAAATTCTTATCATTCCCCCATGTCGTTAAGTATCTTTGAAAATAAAATTGTAATGACTATATAATATTCTATAAAAATTTATATTTTCATATTACTGAATATTTAGGTTAATTAATTTCATCAGTTAGCTTATTGGTATATCATGTGGCACTGTATTGTAAGTGCAAATGTTTATTAAAAAACACCCTTGTTTAAAAATAAATACCCTTGTAAGTAGAAAAAGCTTAAAATGTCCCTCACTGCTACAAAGTATTCTCATTCTCTTAAGAAAATTTGCTTATATGGACCTGATTCAGAACTTTGCTAAATTACTCATTTATTTTTCCCTGTGTAATGGTTTACATTAGAGAAAAGTTGGATATATAAAATCAAATTACATAGTGAATTAGAAGCAACAACTATTATGAATATGTTTAATTTCTGACCTTTCTGGGATAAAAATCATGATGTAAAATCACCTCTTCTAGAAGAGAAAAGGAATTGTGAGTGGGGGTGGTGTGTGACAGAGAAACAGAGAGAAGCTCAACACATAGGATGTTCTCTGCACTAATGAATTCCTAGTCTTGCTGCTTAAGTTTTCTTCAGATTCTTCCAAATCTATTCCTTCAGTAATTTTTTGCTAATTGAGTACACTTCCTCAAAGTGTAACTGTTGATCTGGTTTAGAAAGGGAGTTATGATTTATTAAAAAATATATATATCTGGAATATTTAAATATCCATACCCAAATAATCAAATATTAAGAACATTACTGAGATAAACTTATTACAGTATTATATTAGAGATAATTCTACTTTCTTTTTTTTTTTTTTGAGACAGAGTCTCACTGTGTTGCCTGGACTAGAGTGCCGTGGCATCATCTTAGCTCACAGCAACCTCAAACTCCTGGGCTCAAGCGATCCTCCTGCCTCAGCCTCCCGAGTAGCTGGGACTACAGGCATATGCCACCATGCCCGGCTAGTTTTTTCTATATATTTTTAGTTGTCCAATTAATTTCTTTCTATTTTTAGTAGAGACGGGGTCTCGCTCTTGCTCAGGCTGGTCTTGAACTCCTGAACTCGAACAATCCGCCCGCCTCGGCCTCCCAGAGAGCTAGGATTACAGGCGTGAGCCATCGCACCCAGCCCTACTTTCTTAAATAATCTCTTTATGATACTTTACTTCTTGCCAAATTAAGTATGGCTTCACATTTCAGGACTTGAAACTATTCTTTATAACAAATTGCATGATGGAAAGTCTTGATTTTTCTTAAGTCGTGTCTTAACTTCAAAAATCATTAGTTTATCTAATTAAATAGGGTAGTTGCCAGGATCTGGAAAGGGAGAAATGGGAATCATTTTTCAATGTGTATAAAGTTTCTGTTATGCAAGATGAGTAGGTTCTAGAGATCTGCCATACAATGTAGTACCTACAGTTAACAGTACTATATTGTGCACTTTAAAATATGTTAAGAAGATATATGTCTCATGGTAGATGTTCTTGCCAAAAAACAAACAAACGGAAAAAAAAAACCCACACACAAAAGAACACAAGGAAATTTTGGGAGGTGTTGGATCTACCTTGGTTGTGGTGATGGTATATATGTCCAAACTCATCAAGATGTATATTTTATTTTATTTTTTATTTATTTATTTTTGCCAGTACAAGCTTGTTTTTATTGGAAAGAGCAATCACATCAAAAAATACTTGGTGGCCGGGCGCGGTGGCTCACGCCTGTAATCCTTGCTCTCTGGGAGGCCGAGGCGGGCGGATTGTTCGAGCTCAGGAGTTCGAGACCAGCCTGAGCAAGAGCGAGACCCCGTCTCTACTAAAAATAGAAAGAAATTAATTGGACAACTAAAAATATATAGAAAAAACTAGCCGGGCATGGTGGCGCATGCCTGTAGTCCCAGCTACTCGGGAGGCTGAGGCAGGAGGATCGCTTGAGCCCAGGAGTTTGAGGTTGCTGTGAGCTAGGATGATGCCATGGCACTCTAGCCCGGGCAACACAGTGAGACTCTGTCTCAAAAAAAAAAAAAAAAAATACTTGGTAGATTTCTGTCAAATAATGCAAGTAACATTATGTTTTTCCTGTTGCTTTGACTGTCAGAAAGTTTGATCTAAATTTGTTACGATATTATTAATTGTATATTTTCTTTGTCCCTTAATGTTACTTTTTTTCTCAGATAACAGAAAATGTTATTTTTTCAAAACGTAATTGAAACAAAGATTTGTGCAGTTCATTGCAGCTTAAGTATACCTCACTTTAAAAATATACAAGGTCAAATATTATTTTAGAATTTTTTTATTTCAAAGTATTAAGGGGGTACAAATGTTTTTGGTTACATGGATTGCTTTTGTAATGCTGCGTCACGGCTGTAAGTGTGCCCATCACCCAGATAGTGTTCATTGTACAATGTGTGTGGTTTTTATATATCAATTATACCTTGGTAAAGCTATAAAAAATTCATTACCCAGATAATATCACCAGAATTTGAGTAGAAGTAGTTTTCTCTCTTCCCCATCGTGTTACTAATAATTCTTTCTCCTTCTTTAGATACTGCCTAAAAAATTAACTCTGTCAAAAAAATTAAATATCCATTTCCCCTTGATTTTCACTTACAATACATACAACACACTCTTTTTTTCTAAGTGTAGACTAATATCTACACTTGCATGTGTACTAATATCAGATAGTAGGTATATCTCAATTCTCCTAGTACTCACGTTCCTCAAACAATGTGTTTACATTAGTGTTTTGTCTATGGATTGTATATAAAATATTATGAGACATTTCTACTTAAAATAATTCTAAGCTCTTGCTTAAAATGAAACTTTGCTTCAGGTATTTTTGTCATACATTTTCATAAGATTTTTAATTTTTTTTAAGTGAATGAGCATTGGCTATTCCATGACGATTGCACAGTAGAAAGATTCTGTGACTCCCCTGACGGTGTTATGATCTGTGGCAGTCATGATGGACGAGAGGTGTACGCAGTGACCCATGACCTGACTCCCACCGAAGGCTGGATTATGCAATTCAAGGTGAAAATGTTACAGTCTTGATTTTGTAAATATCTATACATTAGCAATATAACAAATCAAAAACATTGCAGAGACAAAGATCATCTAATATTTAATTAGTATATACTTCGAAAAATAAAATTTAATATTAAGGTAATATGCAACTCAACTATATATTGCTTAATGATTACAATTGTTTTATTTCTGAACTATTATAAGGTGAAACTTCTATAGAAGTAAATGTGTTTCTGCTTGGGATTAATCACTGTTAGAGGCCAGGCACAGTGGTTCATGCCTGTAATCCCAGCACTTTCAGAGACTGAGGTAGGAGGATCACTTGAGGCTAGGAGTTCAAGACCAGCCTGGGCAACATAGCAAGACCCTGTCTCTACACAAAATTTAAAAATTAGCAGGGCATGGTGGTACGTACCTATAGTCCTAGCTACTCAGGAGCCTAAGGCAGGATGATCGCTTGAGGAGTCTGAGGTTACAGTGAGCTATGATTGTGCCAGTGTACTCTAGCCTGGACAGTAGAGTGAGACCCTGTCTCTAAAAAAAAAAAAAGAAAAGAAAAAAAAACTGATAAAGCAAAATATTGATAATAAAAATGTAGGATATGGATTCCAACTCCTACAGTTAAATCATCATATGACTTAGGCAAATTGTTTCTCTAAGAGAAGATTAAAGCTATAATGGTCATTTCTACTTTTTTTTTTTTACAAGAGCATTTGGATATTTCTGGAGAAAGAAAATTACAGAAAACAAAGGCACGATTAGCATTAATGCCAACATCAACTTTGGCCAATATTTTGGCCAAAATTTTCTGCCAGACAATTTATTCTGTCTACCTAAATCCCACTGTATTAGCAACAAATGCTGCAATTATCACTATCTCCAGTCGATGAAGGGTGTTGTACTTTGTTAAAAGTACCTTCTGTTATCACTTCATTGTGTCTTACTTGTAGTTATAAGTGATTTATTGAGAGTCATAAATTGTAGGACAAAATAGTATAATTGGTAAAGCTGTTAGCAATTCTTCTTGGTTAAGTGTTCTGCCAGATAGAAGTGCCAGACCATTAACACAACAATTTGTAAGAGTGGGCCCGGGCCTTCCAAGGCAATCAGTCAGCGTGGCAGAAGCGCAGGTTTCAGCTTCTCTCCAAACCCTCTGCACAATCTATTTGGCACTTTCTACAGTTTGTCACCTGGGGCAACCATGTTGACTTCCCCTGTCCATCAGCAGAACAAAGACTGAATCTGGAAATACAAGGCGAATGTGGTGCCGTGTATAGCAAGTGATCGGCAGCTTTCTTGCTGCCAAGTCCTTAGAGCAAAAACATGTAATGTGGTTTTAATACCTTGACGATCTTGCTTTTCTGTTTATTAGATCTCTGTTGGATGTAAAGTATCTGAAAAAATTGCCCAGAATCAAATTCATGTGCAATATTCTACTGACTTTGGTGTGAGCTGGAATTATCTGGTCCCTCAGTGCTTACCTGCTGACCCAAAATGCTCTGGAAGTGTTTCTCAGCCATCGGTATTCTTTCCAACTAGAGGATGGAAAAGGATCACCTACCCACTTCCTGAAAGCTTAGTGGGAAAGTAAGTGGAAAATTAAAATAAAGCTTAGTTCCAAGCATGCAGAAGTTGATTAGGGACACTATTGTCAAGCCTGAAATTATGTGTAATTGTATGTAAAGTGCTCTCTTCTTCCCTAATTCTAAAGGTTCTCTAACTGATGACTTCCATGATGAGCTCACTTCAGGAGACCTCAAGTAGTAATCCTCAGACTTGGCAAAGTGGGCCTGGGCAGACTCTTTCATTTTCCATACCTCAGTATCTTCAGTTAGGGACAGAGCAATAGTGATGGCCTTGGAGCCAGATGAAAAGGTGTATGTGACCTCATCGACCTTGTAGACTGTGGACGACCATATACTTTCCACATTATTCCATATCAATCCATGACAAACAGAGCCAGGAGCAAATCCTAACTCATCATACTGTTTTTAGAAATCCTAACTCTTCATGCTATTTGTACAAGTGTGGCTTGTAGGGTTCATTTTTCTCTTATCAAAGCACTATGGGCTGGGCACGGTGGCTCAAACCTGTAATCCTAGCACTTTGGGAGGCCAAGGAGGGAGGATTGCTTGAGGTCAGGAGCTCAAGAACAGCCTGAGCAAGAGCAAGACCCCATCTCTACTAACAATAGAAAAATTACTCAGGTGTGGTGGCTCATGCCTGTAGTCCAAGCTACTCGGGAGGCTGTGGCAGGAGGATCACTTGAGCCCAGGAGCTTGAGGTTGCAGTTGGCTATGATGATGTCACTGCACTCTAGCCCAGGTGATAGAGCGAGACCCTGTCTGAAAAAAAAAATTATGTTTTGTACCTGCAGTAAAAAGTAATTAGCCTGAAGCAGTGGTGAGCAGAGGTGATCAAACCATGCTCTGGAAAGCGTATGGATATGCTAATGCAAGGCAATTCCAAAAGATTTCTCTTCTAGTGTAAAATTAGGAAAAGAGATACATTAAAGAAAATGACAGGTGCATCTCCACTGTATTAATCATATAGTCTGGCTAAATGAAGAACTTCTTGTAAAACAGATTTGATATATGACCAGAACATTACAGAGCCTTTGAATGAGTTACTTACGCATGGCTTTTCCAGTGTCCCATATATATTATTTCCTGTATGACCACTCAAGAGTTTTCTGGAATGAATCTAAACATGCTACAGAACTAACTCAGGATGCTTTCAGCAGCAAGTAGTAGCAAACCCAATTAAAACTGGCTCAAAATTTATTATATCTATAATGAAAGAATCCAAAAATAAGTGACTCTAGGATTGGTTGATTTGCAGGTTGAACAATGTCTTCAACAATACTGTTCTTTCTTATTTTTTGCTGAGCTGTCTACAGCATCGGACCATCCTCAGCTCTCTCTGGCTGGCTTTGCTATTATTGAACATAAGATGGCAGCCAGAGAAGTGGAGGAGAATGCTTCCTTACCTGTGTCCAATGAGAGAGAAAGAGCATTGCTTTTCTTTCCAAGAAAACCAGAACAAGCAGCTTCATGCATTCCGTTGATAAAAGTTAGCCACTCAGTAGTTAGGGGAGTTATATTACAACGATTATTTCACATGAATTATCCGGGTGAAACGGATGCTGGAAAACCATCACAACATCTGTCATAGACTCATTTCCCCCTCCCATTCACTTTCTTTTTTTAATAATGAGGTATAATTTACATTCAGTAAAATGCATATATCTTAATCACTCAGATCAGTAAGTTTTTATTATTGTGTAACCCATGTAACAGCTACATATAACAAGATACAGAACATTTATATCACCCTCCAGAAAGTTCCTTCATACACTTTGAACTCTTTAAACCAAAATAGTGTGATATATTTTAATATAGGGTTAATTATAAGGCTTTTTTCCCCCAGAAGACAGAGAAGAACAATGATGAAATTAAGATCTCAGGAAAATTGGCCTTTAATATAACCTTTCAAAATTGTTTTCTAATTAGCATAGTTACTCTGAGAATATTGGTTGTCTTCAGGGAACTCAGAAGTTGCTGTTTCCCAGCCACCTGAGAGCTGTGTGTATTCCCGCAAGGCTCTGTCAAAGGCTTTACTCATCTTCTGTAAATTTCAGATATGCAATTAGTGAATCTAAATTGCATCACAACCACAGAACTTCAGTTATTACAAAACTTGATTTACGAGAGTTACAGATTTTTGTTTAAAAATATTTCTATATCTCAAAATAGAGATTCTACTGATTTTCATTTTGTTGTGTAAGTCTGCTCAGACATTATAAAAATTTAAATTAAAATTTAAATATAAAGCTTTAAAGTTCCATTACTATTAATAGAAATATAAAGACAATGGTGGTCAGAAAACATTTTTTATTTAATATTAACCCAGTTCATCCTGTAAGAGTGTCTTAAATGTTTTTTTCTCTGAGTACTGAATACACATGCGGGAAAATGGACCTGAATAAAGTTAACATTTTTCTTTTGCATTGTCAATAGTCCAGTAAGGTTTAGGTTCTATCAGAAGTACTCGGATATGCAGTGGGCAATCGATAATTTCTATCTGGGCCCTGGATGCTTGGACAACTGCAGGGGCCATGGAGACTGTTTAAAGGAGCAGTGCATCTGTGATCCAGGGTACTCCGGGCCAAACTGCTACTTGACTCACACTCTGAAGGTAAAGTGAAAGCCCCAGACAGAAGCATTACGTTGCAGGCCATGCTTAAGAACCAACTTACGTGTGAGACTAATAATCTCTAACAGTGCTCTTTAACTCCCCCAGGAAATAAATCCTTTGAGTAGAAATTTTAAAAATATGTCTTAGCTTAGTATAATTTACCCAATTCATAAAATAAGCCAAGGCTATATGGATTAAAGACTATAAGCACTCTGGTTTTCTTTTTTTATTAAAATATTCTTGAGAGTCAATATTAAGCCTTTTTACTTCACTCTTTCAATTAATACACTATTTGAAGGAGGATACTGTTACTGCTGCTGCTGTTATGAAATAAAGCAAATAATACAGATACATTATCACAAAAGACCAAATTTTCAAAAAGGCCTAAATGGTGCCTGAATTTTTGTTCAGAAAATTCTGTGTTCTGATTGGTTAACTGCTGAAATGTGGTCATGTATTAACATTAGAGAGGTTATTTTTGAAAGCTTTAGCTGTTACATCATTATTTAATATGCAAAGCAAACACAGTTGCCCAATACAGTTGCAATATACACATTCTATTCATTCATCTTTATAACAGAAAAATGACTAAGCTAAAAAAAAGCACAAGCGATTGAAATCCAACATATGAGAGGCAAACAGTGTAAACAAAACCTGTTCTGTCATTTTTGTTTTCTCCAATACTTCAACAACTTTGGAATTGAAAAAATTTTAAATAACATTGGAACAGTGGAACAGTGCTCACTTGTATCTGAAGATGTTAGTCTATTGTTAACAAACGAGGTTATCACATAAGACATACAGCTTTATATGCCAGAGGTACTTAATAAACTAAAAAAAATCGAGTTTCTTTCATGAACATTCAAATTTTACTGGTTTCCTCAGTTGAATAAGAATTGTACAAGTTTATAAACTCTGATTCAAGTCTTATAAGAGTTTCCATGGTTAATCATGCATTTCTTCTGACTCTTGTTTTCTTATATACAAACCTTCACTTACGAAATTATATTCATTTGCTAACCATTAGTGAGGTAAAGACAGACTTACATGTAACTGCATGTCTTTAACCACAGAATTGATTATACTCTAAGTTTGAGAAAAAGAGTGTCTCAGTCATTTTAACTATGCCATAAGATAGCAACTAGAAAACAGTCCTAAAGAACTGAAAAAATCGTTTTTCTGTAGACAATTATTGTAATTGCAACTACAACAAATTGTTTTTGTGAGAGATTTTCACTGATTATAAAAACAAAAAACATTGTATCTCTACCCAATGCAAAACTGTATTATGAACAAAATGAGTATACTATGGACAGAATGAATAGAAAAAAAATCAACATCTTGACTATTATATGAGAGGATAAGCTAATTTTACATAAAATTTAGTCATAAACCTTTAATACTTTATCCACTCTCTTTGGGAAGTAGACTATTCCTGTTTGTTGATCATTCTTAGTTATTAATAAAAGGATAAACTGGAGACCCCAGAAAATATTTTCTTTTAGACTTTGAGTACTTCTCTTCATTACCCTGCAACTTGGCCCTGATGAACATGTGAAAAGTCTTTAAAACTTCCTTCTAAGGTTTATTTTCTTTTGTCTTTATACAGAAATCTTTGGTTTCAAATGTCCCTGCCTAACCATACAGACGTTCTAGGTTCACTCTGTGTTAGAAGCTGAAGATCCTGGCTGCCTAAAGCAGTCTCCAAAGTTGGGGGCACACACTCCAGGACAATCCATTGAGGAATGATGGGGGGAAAGTGCTAGATCATCTGTTTATATTTGATCTTATTCCTTTAACTTTTCATTTTTTCTGAATGTTTCATAATATAATAAATTACAATAGTACTTTTATATACAATATAAACATATATATTTAGGGGTTTATGCTTAAGTAACTTTTTACAAAATGTTAGTATGGTTGGCTTTACAATTGTTTTTAAGATTTTTCTCTAGACTTTAAATTCCAACTATTAAACATTATTTTAGCAGTTTAAATGATCTTCAATATAGGCTGGAAAAGAACATTGTGGAGATATCCTGTTGTTTTTTTAAAACATCTTTGGGAAAGATTTGAAATCAGTTCTATTTTTTTTTTTAAGTCCAAGATGTAACTCTATATTGTCTTAAATATGCCATAGTTATCATCTGAAATTGTTATTTTTAACCACATCCCACTTAACTTTTTCCCAGACTTTCCTGAAGGAACGCTTTGACAGTGAAGAAATCAAGCCTGACTTATGGATGTCCTTAGAAGGTGGAAGTACTTGCACCGACTGTGGAATTCTTGCCGAGGACACTGCACTCTATTTTGGGGGATCCACTGTGAGACAAGCTATTACTCAAGATTTGGATCTCAGAGGTGCAAAGTAAGTCAATTTTTTGTTATTTTTATTGCAACATGGCAAATTGGCCCCAAAGCAAGGAACATATGTGTATAAGAAGTTGTTATCCAAGACTGGAGTAGAATATTTGTTCTAATTAATTGGAATGGATAATATGTGCTTGTGTTCAGGTTCCTGCAGTACTGGGGGCGCATCGGTAGTGAGAACAACATGACCTCTTGCCATCGTCCCATCTGCCGGAAGGAAGGCGTGCTGTTGGACTATTCTACTGATGGAGGCATGTTGCAGGAGTGAAAGCCATGCTTGGGGAGCAGATTCCCAAATTCCATCCAACACCCTCAGAAAATTCTGCAAAGCACTGCTGACTTCATAACGTGAATCCCAAAAGTCACAAAGAAAAAGCTACAGATGGTGTTTGCATTACATGTTCCATACATGTGACTTCCGCATTATGCAAAATCTACCCCAAAAAGGGAACAAGAAAGAAATCACATTAAAAATTAAACTCCAGACTTTATGAATAAAGAAAATAATTGGCTGAGCATGGTGGCTCATGCCTGTAATCCCAACACTTTGGGAGGCTGTGGCCAGGGGATTACTTGAGCCCAGGAGTTGTAGGTTACAATAAGCTATATGATTTCACCACTATACTCCTGCCTGGGAGTAGAGCAAGAGCAAGACTCTTGTCTCTTAAAAAAAAAAAAAAAGAAAGAAAGAAAAGAACCTCTATGTTTAACTGAAGCTTGATTATGAATGATACAACTAAGAAATAAAGTTTGTGTGATTTTCCAAGTAAAAGATCATTTTGAAAACATTTTAAAGCATTTTTAAAAGCTTATGTATGGGCAAGCATTTAATAAATGCTGTAGAAAATCTACAACAAACTTCATTAATTGTGAAAGAAAATAATCTGAATTCATGAGTCTGTCATGGAATACTTCAATAAAATTCTGTTTTATTATTTTGGACTAGCTAAAACCAGATGAATGATGCCATGATGTCTTTAGAAAATCTCCTTTAGCAGATAGATATCATTCTTAATAACTAGTTGATAGATAGATGATCCTCAAGTATTTTAAGGTATTTGAAAGATGTTTTCTTAAGTAATTTAAACATCCCACCTCCAGTATTAGCAAGCAATAAGAGATAACCCTCATATGAGTCCAACTAATTACAAACTGCATAAAATTATAATAGCTATATTTTTTAAATACTGGATGTTATTATCTAGAAACATGCAAAACAGGGATGTATCTCATTATTTATGCATATAAAAATCTAGAACTAAATGTTAAAAGCAAAAAATATATCATTTGTACTTTGGTGTTTTTATTTTGGCCAAGTATTTCTAAATAGCATCAGCCTTAAATTGAAACTTGTTTATAAGTGGTGAAGACCTAAAGTAAAGTCAGCAAAATCCATTCTCATTTCCTGGTTGTAAATGTCTTTGGGAAGCTTATAGTATCTGCAGTATACTAGTGGTTTATTGGTGGGGGTGGTCTCAGATATATTACTGTGTTGGTATATTTGTTATTTTAGGAATTACTTGGACTTTGCTCCATGAGATGGATTACCAGAAATACATTTCTGTCAGACACGACTACATACTTCTTCCTGAGGAGGCCCTCACCAACACAACTCGACTTCGCTGGTGGCAGCCTTTTGTGATCAGCAATGGAATTGTCGTCTCTGGGGTGGAGCGCGCTCAGTGGGCTCTAGACAACATTTTGATTGGCGGAGCAGAAATCAATCCCAGTCAATTGGTGGACACTTTTGATGATGGTAAGAAACAAGATATTGAACAGTTTTCTTTGCTGTGAGCCTTTTGTCTGCTTATGTCTTCAGATGAGTTAGTACATAAAAAGCATTTTTAAGGGTGTCAGCACATATTCCTGTTCAACACGTTAGCTATTATTTTGTCCAGTGGCTTATAAATCTTCAAAGTTGGATGCCAGTTAAAATGTCAACTGAGAATATAATAAATCCTGTTAAAACAAAATGTCTAGCTTTAAATGTAATTTGAAATTTCAATACCCCAAAATAATTTTGGTCTCCTTAGTAATTTCTGTGTCACAGAGAAACATAATGCACTGGCTTACAAAGTGTGCCAAAATGGTACACTTGGCAATGTTAAGTTACCCAGACTAGCAATTACATTTTAAAAGTGGGGTGATCATTACATTAGCATTTAGTAATCTTTTCTAAATTTGACTTCTCAGCTTAGATGCATACATTATACCAGTTAAATAAAATAAAAATCAATCCTAAAGAGTAAGCAAAAAGCTAGAGAATAAACATTTAAGTAATTCAACAATACACTAATCAGTTCAAGAGAATAACATGCCATATTGCTTCCAATTTATCTTAATAGAAGGCACTTCCCATGAAGAAAACTGGAGTTTTTACCCTAATGCAGTAAGGACTGCAGGATTCTGTGGCAATCCATCCTTCCACCTCTACTGGCCAAATAAAAAGAAGGACAAGACTCACAATGCTCTCTCCTCCCGAGAACTCATCATACAGCCAGGATACATGATGCAGTTTAAAGTAAGGGGAAGTGGCTCTTCAAAACAGAATGTTTTGACATTACGTTTGGAGGGTGGGGGAGAATGTTTATTCCGACAACTCTAAGGAAATGATTGATTTCATTCATTAAAAGAGACTTTATCTTATGAATAAAACAGGTAGTCTTTTGCAAAGGCCTTTATTCAGTATGATATTTGAGCATAGATAAAACCTCTGAATATGTTGGGACATAGCAAGAAATGTAACTGTTATATCTCATATGGTAATCTTGATTTCACTTCCCAAACCCTGTAAATTAAAAGCTCAAATAGGAGTCTCTGCCTACTTCTATCTCTGTGTAACTCTATTTTTTATATTGTACAATTCTCTCTCTTGTTCCCCCATATCTCTGTCTCTCTCCACCCCACCCCGATTTCTCTGTCTCTTACTCTATGCCTATTACATGCAGCAAGCCATGTGCTTCTTCACCTGGTCTTTTTAAGTGTATCTTTCCATTTTCCTTTGGCTTGAACTTCACAAACCTGTACATTAGCCCAGTTGGGATTTCCCAAACCTTCAAAGAATTATAGGGGACTCTCACATCTTTTAAACTGTATATTTTATTCATATAGAAGGATGGAAGGGAAGGCATAACAGGTGATTAATAGACAAGAGAGTCAGACACTCATAAAGCAATGTCAATTGATGTCTTTCTATTGCAAAATATACTTTTTAAAAAAGGCATTACATACAGAAATGCAGTTTATTACTAGGTCATTTTAAAGACATTAGTTATTCTAATGTCCTTGCTTTTTAAAAAGTTCTACAACGATGGTTAATAGTAAGAATCCTTATTAGCAGATATAAAAATGAATTTGCTTTTTGCCTTGACTCTATGTTAAACTCTCCTTCAGAAACTGGAGGGTGAGGCAAGCTCCCCTCCACCCGAATGCTACCACTCCCTCGGGACTATTCTTAACTTAGTGACATGAAGGACGTACAAGGTCATATGCAGTGTTATTCCACCCCTACTCCCGTGCCCTGTCCTTTAAGAGTGAAGGTTTTCTTTCCCTCTACCAGGCTCACACTGTGGCCCATATCAAAGGCATCCTACTTGACTGAGTTGATTGGGGCCTTCTCTTTGGCTGCTTTTGTCAGCCGAGATCTGAAGCAACTGAAATTTTCTTCTCTAACCAAGTCAATTTGTTTAGAAAAAAGTTTGTCGTCAGAAATTTAGCACTTAAAATACCACTAAAACTGGGCTCTTGGAAGCCACCATAGACTCGCCACACACTACACCCAGCAGCTCCTGCCCACTCCTCATCGCTCCGTTCCTCTCTGGACCATTCGATGCTGTTGTCCTTGTCCTCTCCAGCCTGTGAAATTCTTCTTCCCCTTGGCTTCTGGGTCCTCCACTGGTTTTCCTCTTGCCTCTTTGATATCTACTTCTATCTCTTTTTGGGCTTTTCTTCTTTCAACCCTCTATGTGTCACCATTTCTCAGTGCACATCAACTTTCTCCTCCTTCCATAGACATTCTCACCATCAGGAATTTTATCCAGTTCTCTGACTTCAAGAGTCATATCTTGAAGAGCAAATCTCAAATCTGCAATCCAACCTTGACTGGCTCATTAACAATTAATTCAGCATTGTTAATAGCCTCTGCACATTCCTACACCTTTGCTCATTGGCACCTCAACTCAATATGTCTAACAGTGAACTTAACATCGTCCCTCCCCAAACCAGTGCTTCTTTCTGATTTTCCTATTTCTGTGGCTGGCACCGCCTTTCACCTAGTAACTAGATTGAAATGTTCAATTAGTCTTTTTCACTTTTTACATCTAATAAAATGTAATATTTTTACATATTTTGTAAAATACAAAATATGTATTTTAAATAATAAATACATATTTATTTGTATAAATATGTATTATGTATTTATACATATGTATATATGTATATAATATGTTACCTCATCCTTTTAATTCTAATTTCCGGTGTTCCTGGTATCCATCAAATCTTCTCTGTTTGCAGTTATCACAACATCTGTTCTGGCCCTAATTAAATCAATAGCTAAGTACTCTTTTCACCCCAGTCTCTCCTCATTTCTGTCTGTCCAAAATTTGACATCACAGTTGGATGGATCTTTACAAAGCACAGCTCTGAGCAGATACTTCCACTGCTTTCAAACTTTTCATGGCTCTCCACTGCTTACCAAATTAAGGACAAACACCTTAGATTACAACTAATGATCCACCAAACTCAGCCATTCTTTCTAACTTTATCATCTCCCAATATTTCATATACTCTACGCTTAGACCAAAACATGCTACATGCTGTGCTCTAGACATGCCACCGTGCTTTCCTACCTCTGTCTTCATGTACACTCTTTCTTCCATCTAAATATCTCTCTCCTCTCTCTACCTCTCAGCCTCTTCCCATTCTTCAAGGGCAGCCTGCGCACGCTCTATTTGATGAATGATTTTCTAATCCACCTCATCAAATACAATCTCTTCTTCCCATGAAGCACCACAGCATTTTATCAATTCCCATTACCATTACTGGAATACACTTCTTATTCTTTGTCTGTCTGAATTTAGAGTTGTTTTATTCATGGATGTATGGCCTAAAATTTTAGCACTAACGTTCCCTATTATCAGCATTGAAATAGGACTTGTTGACGAAATAGATGATTAGGACTTAAATTTAAATCACCAAATTTGTATAGCATTTATGCTTATGAATGATTCAAATACAAATTGCATATAATATGGAAAGATTTTATTACTATGAAATAGAGAAAACCCTAAGAATGAATATTAATGAAAAATGGCTATTTTTAATTCCAAATAAAAATTTAACAATAGCATTAAGAAAGTTAGGATGTCAATGAAAATGTTTTGAACCAGTGATACTTTCAGTTTCTCTTCATAAATTCTCCTAATGTTACCTTTTTTTTCCCTTTGGCCAATTTATTGTACCCAAATTTGTGATTAATATGTTATACTAATTGAGTAAATTGAAATAGTTCCTTTTAAAACCTTAATTCTTATCTCCGTGCAAAATTGTATGTCTTTAACAGAATTCAAAGGAATGCATTCTTAGTGTCCCAGCAGGCTGCTCTGTGTAAAAACTTCTCTGAATGTTCCTTGACTACCTATCAGAGTCATAATGGAAAGAGATTGGATTTCTAACTAATAATATTAGATGTCATTTTATCTTACCTGTGTATTGATTGTTTGTTTTTTTTAGATTGTGGTGGGTTGTGAAGCCACTTCTTGTGGTGATCTTCATTCCGTCATGTTGGAATACACTAAAGATGCAAGGTTTGTGAAATAATTTTTTACATTTTCTCCAAACTTGAATACACAAACCAAAAGGTTAATATACAAGGGGTAACCTTGTATATTACAAGTGTATACATATATATATATATATATGTGTGTGTGTGTGTATATATATATATGTATATGTGTGTGTATATATATATATATAAGTATATACCCCTTGTATATACAAGAGGTAACCTTGTATATACAAGGGGTAACCTTGTATATTAGAAGTGGAAGTTTATATTTTTATATAAATTTCATTTGTATAAAATTTATACATACGTCATATTTTCAAATTTTTCTTCAAGAAAATTCAATTTTCATACAAGGCTGCAGCCAAGAAACTTTATATTTTAAAATAAGTAAGGCACCACATTTGTCCTCAAAGAACTCTCTTTATTCATGTTGCTTATTTTCCACCAACCCTAACAAAAATTATAATCAATGAATGATCCGAATATGCTTGAGCCAGAGTCATATCTCCTAAAGCATATTAGCATTATTAGCTAGAAGTCTAACAAAGTACAGTTACCTCATTAGGGTTTTGATAGCCCTGTTGCCCACCACCACTTTTAAAAACTAATTATATTAAGTTTGGGTAGGCAGACAATTTTGTTAATCAACTCCAGGTATATTTCTAGTAACAATTTCAGTAGGAGGAAGCTACTAGAATTCACCGCCTTGCATGCTGTTATTTTATTCTATTGTCTGTGAATATATCAGTGTGCTTAGTCAAAATATGTCTTATGAGAAATTATTTTTAATTTTTCTTTTTATAATCTGTAATTATAAATATGTACAGGAAACAGGAAATTCACATAAAAAGATCTTAATTTAACCCAACCCTAAGGCATTACCTTGGCATTAGAAATACTCTACATTCTGCATATGATTTGTCCAGCATAGCCTTTCGGTTTCTGCAGATCCGATTCCTGGCAGCTCGTGCAGACCCAGTGCCTGCCTTCCTCCTCCAACAGCATTGGCTGTTCCCCCTTCCAGTTCCATGAAGCCACCATCTACAATGCCGTCAACAGCTCAAGCTGGAAGAGGATCACCATCCAGCTGCCTGACCACGTCTCCTCCAGGTAGGCTGCACATTATGGTCGAATTGTGGGTGCAAGCATGGTGGCTCACGCCTGTAATCCTAGCACTCAGGGAGGCCGAGCCGGGAGGATCGCTTGAGGTCAGGAGTTCGAGACCAGCCTGAACAAGAGCAAGACCCCGTCTCTACTAAAAATAGAAAGAAATTATCTGGACAACTAAAAATATACATAGAAAAAATTAGCCGGCCATGGTCGCGCATGCCTGTAGTCCCAGCTACTTGGGAGGCTGAGGCAGAAGGAATGCTTAAGCCCAGGAGTTTGAAGTTGCTGTGAGCTAGGCTGATGCCACAGCACTCTAGCCCGGGCGACAGAGCGAGACTCTGCCTCAAAAAAAAAAAAAAAAAAAAAAATTGTGGGATTATCTGGCACTATCTCCAGAGTTCGTGCAGTGAGCTGAAAACCACTGATAAGTGAGCCAGAGCTTTATGCAGCCCAAGTGCCCTTCCCTTCATCTCTCCCTCCTCTCACCAGCCCATGTCCCCAAATGGCAATTGCCTGTCCCAAGAAGAAATAGGAATTTGTAAGTAACTCATAGATCTCAGATTTTCTTTTGACTAAATACCATGGCATATGCCAAACTCAATCACAGGCCCTGAAAGACAGACCCAAAGACTGGAGCTCTGCCTCAGTGTTCTGCTCTCCCAGCAGCTGCGCTTCTCATCCAGATGCAAATACTCTCTGGAGTGAGCAGGGCTGTCAGGTTACACCAAGCTACAGGATAAACACAATTGAGAGCAATCTTCCCAGAGCAGCATACAGTTTACTCCAAGATTTGGAAAATGATACACCTCCGTAGGAAAAATGGACATATATTTATTATGGAATAGAATAGGAAATTCATAAAATTTTCAGGGAAGATATAAGCTTCCAAACTGGCATTTTGGTTTATACTCCCAGAGTCTGAAGGATACAAGTTCACTAACCTCTGCCCGCAGCGTGCTTCAGGAAGAAGTTTGGGAAGCCCTTTTCTCAGAAATAGTCCCCATTCCCAGAGGATGCAGGCAGGAAATAATAACCTACTGAATGTCTTCTGCTCTCCGTGGGGCTTTCAGTGCAACACAGTTCCGCTGGATCCAGAAGGGAGAAGAAACTGAGAAGCAGAGCTGGGCGATTGACCACGTGTACATCGGAGAGGCTTGCCCCAAGCTCTGCAGTGGCCACGGATACTGCACCACCGGCGCCATCTGCATCTGCGATGAGAGTTTCCAAGGTCTGAATCCCGGCTGTTGTTGTTGATACAGGAGACCATGAAGTTCTCCTCATCTTAACACGTGTACAAAAGTCCACTCAGAGATGGACAGAAACTCCACCCTGAGGGATATGAGATAAATACACTTCTTGATCACTTCTTATTTATCTTTGGAACAAATTACAAAGCACAGTTTATGCTATGTTGCTGAAAATATTTTTAAAAATATATATTTAGGCCAGGTGCAGTGGCTCACACCTTTAATCTCAGTACTTTGGGAGGCCGAGGATCACTTGAGGCTGGCCAGAAGTTTGAGACCAGCCTAGGCAACATAGCAAGTCCCCATCTCTACACAAAATTTAAAAAATAACCGGGTGTGGTAGTGTGCACCTATAGTCCTAGCTACTTGGGAGGATCGCCTGACATTACAGTGAGCTATGATTGTGCCACTGCACTCCACCCCTGGGCAACAGAGTGGGCCCTGTCTCTAAAAGGAAAACAAAACACGGATTTAAATTTCAGGATATTCTATAAATATAAGTTTATATTCATAGGTAAATATAAATCCACTCAGGATATGCTATAGTATTTTACATTCCCCATCTTCCATATAACTCTCTGCCCCAACCCACACCCCCGACACTTATTTCTGCTTCTGGGTGCTCTCCTTCCTGACCTAGCTGCCCATGCCTGGATACTTTGCCAGTATGCATCCTTCCTCCACCTCTTCCAACAGTAACTGTCATCGTCCTCCCAAGACATAGAATATCTTGAGACGACCCAAGATGTTCTGTTTCCCAGGTGGTTCCATCACACCAGACAACCTTCGTGACTCAAAAAAATATATTCTTTCTGCTTGAGTTTCAGTACATATTTGGGACGGAGTATCTACTCAACCCCTCACATGATAGAAAATTGCTCTGTCGGCCTGTTAGAAGGCCTGCAGGCCTGCTTTTCTTTCATCCAAAGTTTCCAGCAGGTTTCAGCCTCTCTCATTACAAAGTTCTCTTTACATAATTACCATTCTATCCTCCTTGCCTAATACTTGGCATATAGCAATGCTAGTAAATCTTTTTTCAGTGAATCCTTACATTGCCTTATGCTTTGCTACTTACATAGTATACACCAATTCATTCACTTTTAGTATTTATGATGTCCCCATAACTTATCTATGGTTAATATAATCATTCCCACTTTATAGGTAAAGAAACTGAGACTCAGGGAGGTTAAGTGACTTTCCTAAGGTCACACAGCTAGTAAATGTCAGAAAGACCAGTACTCAAGTACTTGTTCTTTCCAAGCAGCCTTGCTGGCTCATTCATAGCTGAGAGTTTTATCCAAAACAGGAACAGAATTATACAACTTCCCCCAAGTATACGATTCAAGAGTCCATATATTTGAATTCTAGAGTAGGATCTATTCAGATTTCTTAGTTGATGCTATCTCCTTGCCTCCAAATGAAATGGATATGATTAATGCAGACTGCTGCACATCTCTGGCATTTGAAATTACTTAGCCATCTCTTTTGTCCCCTGGTATCATTGCCACTGAGACCAGCTGGGTCTGTCTGCATATTAGCTTGAGAATTTTAACTTTAGGCAAATGTATAAATCAAATGTCTCACAAAGAGTCCTAGACATCTGGAATTTTCCCTCTCCCCTGATCCAACAGAACTCTGGCCTTTTGATTTTAAACTATTATGGACATGTAGAAAAGCTGTACGGCTTAAATCAAGGGGACATGCAAGCACATACACATTTGCTAATATAGTGTCTTACCTAAATGCCAGTATTGCAGCTCAGTGGTCTCTGAGAGACACTTCTAATCTATTCATTATTCATTTATTTATCCCAGCTTCACAGCTGAACATCTTTTATATATGCTAAGTATCGTGTTAGGTGCTGGAATCCAACAATGAATTAAGATATAGACTCTGCTCTCAACAATCACCAAGTGTAGAGCGGAAGGAGAATAAGAAAATGACTTATTTTCTACTACAAAATCATGCTAGGAAATCAGAAGTTAGGGTGGCCTCTCATGCCAGGGTGAGGGCTCCTTACTGAGACCCATCATCGGTACACATTCAAGTCCCAGCCAGATGCTGTGGTATTTAAGCAACAGAGTTACACAAGTACATGAGCACCTACGTATTTTAGTAACCATTGACTCAAGGATAATGGGACTTTTTTCAACAATGTCAGCCAATGATTGCCAAAACAAAAGAGAAACGTTTATTTCTGGGAGTCTATCTCTGCTTGGTATTTTGCCATTCTTACAGTAACAACAATGGCTAAAATCTGAACTTGAATACTGTTCTTAATCTTTGCTGATTCTGCTTGTTCTAGTTAAATTTCTGTGATTATTTCTTTCCCTCTAGGTGATGATTGCTCTGTTTTCAGTCATGATCTTCCTAGTTATATTAAAGATAATTTTGAGTCAGCAAGAGTCACTGAGGCAAACTGGGAGACCATTCAAGGTGGAGTAATAGGCAGCGGCTGTGGGCAGCTGGCACCCTATGCCCATGGAGACTCGCTCTATTTTAACGGCTGTCAGATCAGGCAAGCTGCCACCAAGCCTCTGGATCTCACTCGAGCAAGGTAACCAAATCTGTGTGTTGCAGAATTGGTCACAAGCCCGGTTATTGTCCACTATCTGTGGATATGATCATGAACCTTACGGCACAGATGTCAGTAAGCAGTGGAAAAATAACTATCATTTGAATTTGGTACAAGGCAGCATTGTGTGTTTTCACAACTCAGAATCATGCTTTGCTTAAATTTATTATAGAGTTGCTTTCCATTTCTTCACACGCACTGGCTGGGTGGTGGTGACCTAGGCATAAGCCCAGAAAAATGGCCAAATATAAAATATTAGCAAGGGATCATCCACATAGGTAATTTAATGTTGGCCACAGGCAAGTATGTAACTATGAATGTGTATGTGAAGTAGATTTATAGCAGTGCACCCATATGCGTGTATTTAGCATATGTATTAATAAGTGCAATAATAGAAATGAAGGATGGATGGATGGATGAATGGATAAAATCTTTAAAAATTCACATGCTACAGGAGCTGGAGGTTAATGCAGAGTAGAGTGGATAGAGACCCTGCAAATGGACTAGGGAAGAGACAGAGAAAGAGATGTAAGGAGGATTTATTTCCTTCCCCACCTGCCCTTCCCAGCTCTGCCACCTTAGCCAGAGCAAACACAGCTTTCTGTCTGCATAAGAAAAGATCGCAAGGCTTTAGAAAGCTTGCAAAGTATTATTCTAGAGTAGTCACTGAATTCTGAAAAATGTTCAGTAGCTATGAGGGTATTTGAGAAATAGATGTTTGGTTAATGAGAATATGATGTTTACTGGAAGCTCTTCACTGTGGAAAATATTAGTAATATATTTTCAGCAGCAGAAAGGCACTTTTGGGGGCCCTTAATATGATAAACAATGAAAATATAATAAAATTAATTCCTGTATAGAAACCATGGAATGCTACAAGTTGTATTTACCCATCTCCATTTTTTTTCTACCAAAAACATATACTTAATCTAGAGACAACCTAATATCTTCCTTGGTAGCTGCAACTAGGTGCTTAGTTAACAATTGCACAGCATGTTGTATAAGTAACTTTGTTTTAAATTAATTTATGCATTTATAAGTTTTAAGTCCAGTTCTTTATTCAACTATCTACTCTAAATTCAACTATCTATCTACTCAGTTAACACGAGGAATCTTATGAGGATATATTTCCTATGTCTAAAGCTGTATCTTCTAAGGGCAAGGATGCCTGTGAAAACAAGAGAGCATGTCAAAGTGAATAGCAGACATGGTCCAGGGCTTGCATGTCCTAATTCAGTTTTCCCTCAGCTCCAATCTCCAGACAGCCTTTCCTAAAATAGATATTTATCCTTATCCAGATGCATTCAGCTCGGAGCTATTTGTAAAAAGTATGTAGCATAAATACTGTGGCTGTAGTCCTTGTCGTCTTCATGTCCTCAGCTGTTTGGCCCATGTTACCTTTTAGAGAATAGAAGGTGTTTTAGATGAAATACTCTACAAGGTTTCCGGCATCATGAAAAGAAGACACATCTTTGAAAGTTAAGATTGTTTTCTTTGTGTAGAAAACCAGCCTTCTGACATTATTCTCATATGTATAATGTAAAAGATAGTATAAATTTATTAATGTAATTTAGTCATAAAGCTGGCTGCTTCTGGTTTTTGTTTATTATCATTATGATTATGAGTTTTCTGATGAAAACTGGAAAACTTGCTAGATAAATTCTAAAAGAGCTGTAACACTCGCTTCTATGTTTACTATATTATGAACTTGGAAATTGTGGACTCTAGGAACAAGAAAAAATTAAGGAAGTATAACTCCTTTAATACTTCCTGACTTTTGCTGAAAGATGATTTCCTCTGTGTGTTCCAGCAAAATCATGTTTGTTTTGCAAATTGGGAGCGCGGCCCAGACAGACAGCTGCAACAGTGACCTGAGTGGCCCCCACGCCGTGGACAAGGCCGTGCTGCTGCAGTACAGCGTCAACAACGGGATCACCTGGCATGTCATTGCTCAGCACCAGCCAAAGGACTTCACACAAGCTCAGAGAGTGTCTTATAATGTCCCCCTGTAAGTGGCCTGACTGGAAAGGCGGGATCTCATGCACAGTCCCTGGGAATCAAAGAGTTTGAGGTAGAAGTTGGGTGAAGTTACTGGATCAATACCACAAAACTAGGTGGTGGCAGGACAAAGCCTAACCTAGATCTCCAAAGTTGTGTTACTGTTTTCTATTAGGACAAGAGGCAAATATTACAGCAAGGAATAAGGACAAAAGGCAATAGAGAATAACAACTAAACAAAAGGCACTTTTTGCATATGTGTCTTCCATTAACCAGTATTTCTAGTCCTTTAGAAAACAGCCTTTTTAGGTTGGGCATGGTGGCTTCTGCCAGTAATCCTAGCACTTTGGGAGGCCGAGGTGGGAGGATTGCTTGAGGTCAGGAGTTCGAGACCAGCATGAGCAAGAGCAAGACCCTGTCTGTACAAAAAATAGAAAAATTAGCCAGGCGTGGTGGCACATACCTGTAGTCCCAGCTACTCAGGAGGCTGAGGCAGGAGGATTGCTTGAGCCCAGGAGTTTGAGGTTGCTGTGAGCTATGATGACATCACTGCACTCTAGCCAGGTCCTGTCCTGTATCAAAAAAAAAAAAAAAAAAACCACTTTATATTTTCTGCTGGGTATGCTAGTTTGAAAATTACTGAGGACAAGCAGTCATATCAGTTTTGCTTCACAACGTGGGCCTAGCTTCTAGCACAGTGCCTGTCACACAGAAAGCACTTCATGTTTTTGACCAAATGTGTTGCTCTTCCAGGCCCTTCTACTGGGGTGAGGGGAAGGAAGAATAGAGATGGAAAAGTTTTAAGGTCCTTGAGTAGCCAATAAAATTTAATGCTGCTTAGATGAGAACCATGACCTAAGCAAATCTGAATTCTATGCCCAAAGCTTTGTTGATTTAGATCAGCCTATTATAATATCTGAAGCCTAGAAGTCCCATACCAGAAAGTTCTGTTTCCTAGTGTATAATTGTTTTGTCCTTCTGTGACCCAGGGAGGCACGGATGAAAGGAGTTTTATTGCGCTGGTGGCAACCACGCCACAATGGAACAGGTCATGATCAGTGGGCTTTGGACCATGTGGAGGTCGTCCTGTGAGTATCTGATACATAGCATCCCATGTCCATTTCAAGAAGGTTTGAAATTCCTTTGCTATGGCATGCTCCTTAATCCAGTAAGAACTGTTTTTGATGAGAAGCCCCCACAGGACCACTTGTCTTACACTCTTCAGCAATTGCAAGCTATAGCTCAAGTCATCAGCAAAATAGCAAAGCCCGGAATGTAATTTAATGTACCTAACTTCAATAAGCAAAACATCTATTTAAGGATTGACAATATTGGTTAAATTGGATAAAACAAAAGTCTCCAGGTAAATGGGAAACAAAGTCTTGTGCCAGATCTGGGTTGCCTTATAAAATGGAATGACATCCTTAAAAAGGAAGATGTATGCGGGGCGGTGTCCAGAGTGCCACTGGCTAATGTGCCCTGTTACAAACACCCATCTAAGCCACAGATGCCTGAGGCCTTCTCCATTTAACTATGTGGTTGCAACTAGAATGAAGAACGTGTGGTTTTAGATTCCTCCTGACCAATCCCAGCACCTAACAAGTTAGAGGTGTTCCCCTGTGGTTTCTCCTATATAGTAAGGCTGTCAGCTGGCCGGGTTGACTGTTACCTTTCGGAGAGATGACTTGCTTTTTCTCTAATGATCTAGTTCCTGTAGAACTGGAATGCTTATGTCTCGACGGGTTCGGACTGATGGCTCCAAGTGGTTGGCAAGGAGAGGCGAATCTTCTCGGTAGATAGGTTCAAATGTTCATTCTGTTTACCAAATCCAAAATGAAATCAGTCCCATGGCTGATTTCGATCATTTTGAAAGCAAATTTAAGTGATTTATTGGTAGGAAAGCTACCAGATTTGTTTTCTTTCAATCATAGCCATGAGCTGAATTTTTCAGTCTTGAGCTAGCCCTCGTCTGAGTTTTCACTGAGGCACCTGCTTGCATGGCATCCATATCAACCCCAAATCCAAGAGCAACCTGGTCCCTACACTAGCCGTGCGCTCTGCTGCTTTTGGACAACTTGCTGGGCTCTGCCTCCACAGGACAAAGTTGAAGTTTACAGCAACAGTCCAGATTCATTTGAATCTAAATATGAGGCTGATGTTTTACTTAGATACTGATTTCCTCTTACTACGTTATTCCACAGAATAGAATAACCTGGGCCCTAAAATGAATTAGAGAGATGTCGACATAGACCAAAAACCAACCCTAGAGCCATTTTGCCTGGCTACTTTCCTTTCAGAGCAGCGCTTCTCAATCTGATTGAATATCAGAATCACTTGGGAAGCTTTTGAAAGCATCAACAAATATCCCAGTGCCTGGGCCCATCCCTTTGGGTGAGGATTTAAATTGATCTGCAATGGGAACTGAGCATGAGTTGTTTTTAAAAGCACCTCAGGTGATTCTAATAAACTGGTTGAGAATCAAATTAGAGTCAATAACCACTTCTTGTCCTTCAAGTCTCTTGCCAAGACAATTTGCATTACTGGGGCTTCCTGTGCCTGAGAGAGCATACCAACTCCTATGGAAACTTCAAAACTTGATAGTCCTCAAAAGAAGGCAGGATATTAATACTGCCCTTGAGTAGACAAGAATTCTTAATATACCATGCATTTGAGTACGTATTTCTTCTCCTCCCAGCCAGTTAAGCAATTACAGTTATCTGTTTTGGATTTCAGAGACATGTCATCACCAGTAATTTTCTCCCTTGGCCTAAAATTAAAGAGAAGGTAGAGTCAGAAGTACAAATATACTCCCTCCGTGGGAAGTAGCCCCTTCACAGCTTAGAGCTCTGTTTTCCACTCCCTGTTGCCCTGGTGCCTCAGAGGCTCAGGAGCACCAGCAGGAAGCCTCACACACAAACCCCAAGACAACTTCCTGGAACACCTGGTGTTGGAGTTCACGTATATAAGCAACTACCAGCATCATGATACTATCATAAGAATCAAACTCAGATTATATGAAATACCAGAAACCTATTGTTTCTGGTATTTTTCTGGAGCTGTAATCTGTATTGTAAAGACTTTATCTTTATTCAGTCTCCAGAATTTTAATACTTTGAAGAATTTATCACTCATCAGGCACCTGTCTGATCTTACCCTGCATTAATGTCTCAAACTCTCAGGGCACTAAAATATTTTAAATAAGAAAAGGGCATTGCCACACCTACACGGTGTTACATGGTGTGAGTTTTATTCCAAGTCATCTTTCAGTGAATACTTTAAAATTATAACCTTACACATATTACCATAAACTTTTATGTACCTATGTTATACATATAATTTTAAAATTCTCTTTAATGACATTTCAAAACTTTGTTAAAATTTAAAGGAATTATTTTCCTTCTTTTTTCAAGAGAAGAAATACCTAACAAAGCTGAGTTCAGTAAATGAGTTGTTTAAAAAATACAATACTAAGAAATTATATTTTCAGAACCATGATTTTGATGTTTTGCTTTGGTCTTAGGATTTTTTTCATAAGAGTCACAAAAAATGTTAAGGCATTCATTAATTTGGCATTCTACAGAATAATTACTTCAATTCATTCATTTGATGAGCTTTAAAAAAGTTTCAAAGAATTCAGAAAAATAAAATATAATTTTCCAGAGTGTCTTTCAACTGTGCACAAAGCAGCTAGCCAAGGTTCATGTCATGATTCACAATACTAATTATAGCCTTGCTACGTAGGATGTATATTTAGACATAGAGAGGTGGAATACTCCCATAAAGCCATATTAATTGAAAATATCCTCTTAATACTTTTGTATCAGAACATTTAGTTATATGAACTAATAATTTGAACTCCTCAAGTGTGGAGGGGAGAAGAGCAGACTGAGGCATGTATCTTAAGAGATGCAAGCCCTACCTAATTGAATGCTGCAAACAGGGCACCTAATATGTTTTTGCAACTAATGGTTGGGGCATACTTTTCACTTAAGAATTTTCAAAATGTATTTTGTTTTTTAAGTGCAGGTTGCCCTTAATCTAACTTTACTGCCATAGTTTGCTTTTGTGCATGTGAAGGACACATGCTAAAAGCCCCTAGAAAGAAAAACTGTGGTCATGCATGGTATCTTATATTGAGCTTAACCTCAGTACTGCCCATATTAACCAAAAAGACATATGAGTTTGATGAGAACAAATTTACCACTTTTGAAAATATTTCAAGAAGTACATTAAGTAGGTAATATATTTTTAATTAAATGGTTTAATTCTAAAATACTACATGTGGAAGGATTTGAGTTTCATAAATATGGATATACAGAATGACTAACCCTGCACCATAAAGATAAAAAACCCACCCTTTTAGCAATTAACAAGCAAAGTCCTTTATGCTTGTTTGAGAGTGTAATCTTCCCACTCTCATGATGTTTTCCAATGAAACCTGCACATGAAAAGCACTTCATGATTAGCCCGTGCTAATCTACCTTATAACAGATGAACCAAATTGACAGATCATATTTTTCCAGCCTCACTAGCTTACAAAACGTCCTCATTCCATAAAGTCTGGAGAATATAGCATAATACAGTCATTGACAATCAAGTATCAGAAACCTAATTTCTCTGAATTCATTTGCTAGCGCAGAATATTTGCTTTTCAGTAAATGTTTATAAATACATTTGGGCAGATCCCTCACAAGATCCATGCTGGTGGGGTTCTTCTTAGGATAAAAGAGAATTTGTTGCCTTAACCGTTTTTGTTGGGTACTCATACTTCTATCCTAAGAATCTCCCTCACCCAACTATGCATTTCATTCACACATCACATTTCCTGTGTGCGTGTCTAAGTCACAACTTGTCATGTGTATAATGAAGTGGGCCAATTTTTGCATGTGTACCTTGAAAGCAAATTACTCAGTAAAAAGTTAGCCTTTGTGAATTGGTTTACTAAAAAGTGAATTATTACCATATTTACTGAGAACTGAAAACCAATGTGCTAACTGTGGTCTTAAACACATTTATCAGATTTTAATGAATTCCATCATGACCATCCCTTCATGCTATTCATTATCAAGATACTGTCACATTTTTGGCACAAATGATTTATGGTGATGAATGTATTACATTTGTTGCAAAGCATATTAAATTTGACTGTATTATCTGATGTAGAGGACTTCTGCATTTTTAAAAGCCCTTCCTTAATATATTCAGGAATTAGTATTTCCTAAAATGTAAATAATCAAAAAATCAGATGATAAAAATAATAGTTATTAAACTATTAATTTAATATTTATAATTATATACAACATTTATGCCAAATGTAGTACTATAGCTACATGTACCTTAACATATGGGTATGAGCAAATATTGCATGTTGCATTACATAGAAAAGTTAAATATATGTATATATTGGGTATAGAATAAGAAATAACTTCTTTAATTTTTATTTTCAAAAGAGATGAAAAATCCTATATTGCGTCTAAACCTGATCAGACTTTTATGACTAATCACAGTGCTGCATGCATTGAAAGGCATTTTTTAACTTGTATTATATTTCATTATTTGCTGTCATTGGTTTTCCACTAGAGTAAGGTAAGTCCTTCTTACTAAATCTGGGGAACTGTTTGCTAATATTAATAGTTTCACCAAAGTTAACTGAGAATTTTTGTAAAGATCTTTGCAGCTGAAAAAAAAAAATCTACGAAACAGTTATGAATGACATTGGGATATACTGGAACATTTGGAACCTATATCCGTGTAAGCTCAGAGTCAGCCAAATTGAGATGTCTCTAACATATACAATATTGGTCACAACAGCATAGACCAAACTGCTAATCAGCATTCCCTCATTGTGCAATAGATCTGACTTAGATTCTCCTCTGTGCCTGGCACTGTATTAGGTGCCCTTGAAGTGCTCACAGTTTATAAATTTGTTATGAGGAGAAAGTGAAAATAGAAATGTGTGCAAAAGATCTCGGGGCTCTGATTAAATGTAACGTCTTTCAAAAGACCTACTGCACTGGAGATTCATGAGGATGCCTTATCAATTCTATTCTAAGTTAATAAATGAATTGGCAGAGGGGAATAGATTTACTCATAATACATTCAAGTTCTAGACCTTGTCCTTAGGTAAAATTGGCCACCTTTAATATATACATACATTTGTCCTCTAATTAAGATACTTAAAAACTTAAAAAGGCAAAATGGTTATCATTTATTGAACATCTGCATATGATGCTAGAAGTTTCATTTAATTCTTATAAGTCCCTGAGATGTATATTATCAGATATTATTCTCATCACCATTTAGCGGAGAAAAGAAATATGAAATCTTTAGTATTTGTGAGATATTTATGCCGACACTGATTTTACGGAGCCTTGCTGAGAACGCATGGCCTTGAAAGTCAGATGTGCAGCACCCTTTATCAGGGGAGTTTCACTGATTAGTTTGAATGGCAACTTCTATCTTATACTTGCCAGTATTTCTCTGAAAAAGATTCCACTGGATTCTTATTTCTACATTCTTATAAATTATTATTTGCTGTACCATGTGATTTGATTATAAATTAATTACTGATCATTAAAAATTTCTATGAGCTCAAAGTACTTCTACCAATTCTCTACCTCTTCCATTTCCTTTAGAATCCATTAAAAAAGCAACTGAATTTTTCATAATAATAAATGAGCTAAGCTTGTGGCTCCAGTGAAGAGTAACAGTTCAATAGAGCACAGAGTCACTAGTTCTTCAAAGGTCTCGCAATATCCATACTTCCTAAGCCGTAACAGGAAAGCATTTTATAATTCCATATGCCACCTAAGTCAGTCCCTAAACTCCCTCAGCAATAATGGAAATTTAAATCTGCATTTCCAAGAAGCCATTGATGTTCATTCCTTCATTTCAATGACTTACTCATAATGGGAGAATTTAAAAATGGACCTAGTTCTATCCACAGCAAAAGCAAATTGATATGTCAAGTGGCATAGTTGATGTGCCTTGGGATGAACATTACCTGCTTTTATTGAACGTAAAATAAAAATCACTCTCCCCTGTAACTGCAGTGAAGAAATAAATCTTAATTCCATTGTACCTATTATTATTTCAGTTAAAGTTTATCTATAGCTATATATCTGCATGTATCAAAAACAAAAACAGGCTCACAGATATGCTGCACACAAAAAATGAGTAAATATAAGATCTTTAAACTTATTAAAAATTTCCCTAATGCCCAATCCTGTTAAGTTAGACATTTTAGAAGGTATAATAACTGTTTAGTAACCATGTCAACTTTTAAACGACCTGAGAAGCAAACGGCATTTGGTATAGCTTCCCATGTTGCTTGATCTTAAAAGGCTTATTCCAACCTAACTGACTGGTATATATCACATACCAAATTACCAGTTAGTTTCAAGGATGCTTTGAAAGTGTGGCCATTTTTAATGTGACTGACTATATAAACATTAGGCATTGAGCACATTAGTCTGCATATCAACATTCTAAAGAATCCAAAGATATGATACTGATACATAAATTTATTCAAAATTAAAGAGCATCTAATGAATCAAAATGCCCTCTAAATTAGTTGTAAGCTTCCACCTTGAACTGATTTTTAGGGTATTAAAGATCTGCAAACATGCTAATAATATTTATTTTCTCACATTTAAATCAGTTCCATAATTAAGTAATTATATGGAGAATTTGCTTTAAAGCCATTAAACATGCACATCAACTTTGTTAAAAGTAAATGTTCCTTTGTTCTCAAATATCGAGGTAACTTTCACATCAGTCTAGGTTGCATTGAGATAACTAAATATCTTGAGTGTTCTAAGTTTATCTTTTTTTAATGTAAAATATTTTAACTTTTAAATTCTCTTTGAGTACCTTATATCTTTAAACATGTTTTCAACAGAACAATTTTCACTGCTTTAACTTTGCAATTATTCCTTATAGTTAAAGAGTAATGATTTACAACAGGAATCCAATCAGTAAGTCACCATAAGTTCAACAAACATGCCTTGACCACCCACAGGTCAGGCAGGAGGCCAGTGCTGCGGTGGGGCGGGGTGGGGGGAGCTGGGAGACAGGCCCCGTACCAACGGAAGTTTAGCATGGGGAGCCAAGGTACGAACACAAATAAACACCATTCAAAGCAGGTAATGAACACTATGAGAATTCAACGTAGGAAAAAAAATCACTTCTGGAGGAGGTGAGCAATAAAGAAAATGTGATACTAGAACAAGTAGAAATTTAGGAAGTGATGTTTGGGATTAGCCATTGAAGTAGGCAGAAATGACTCAGGCAAGTTTGAACAGAGCAGTCTACACAGGAGAGTAGCAAAGGATAGGACAGACTAGGATTAAACGTGAAGAGGACTTGAAATTTCTGGTAAAGCTGGCTTAGGTGTTGTTCCATAGGCAAGAGGATTATGCATAGTTTTTAAGCAAGGTGAAGCCAACATTTGAGAGAAAGTTTACTGAAACTGGTGTGCAAAATGCACACACATTCAAACAATTATGCATTCAGCTGTACTTTCTTAACATTTCATGGTTTCTTTTTAGTGGAATTTTTTTTTTCATAAGGGGAGAGAATTGAGTTAAGGAAGCTAGTTTAGGGGGCCATTATAATAGCTCAGGGAAAGGACTACAAAGTAATTTAGGATGTTGGCAGGAAGACAGCAAGTGCCAGTCCCAAGATTTCATGAATAAAGAAGTAACTGGATCATTTCTTCTGATACTTGATTAGTCCAATACATCAAGTCATTGTCCCTTTTTGTAACTGAACTTTACACAGGCAGCAATTAGTACTTACAGCAGCCAATAAATAATGCATACACCTCAACTGTGACATTGAAACTGATCAACTTAATTAATACACGTAACATTGTCACATGAAGGGAGGAGGATAGTAAGGCTACCCAAAGACAAATGATTGTTTTTTTCTCTAGAATATCTTCATAGTATATTCTTCATTTCCATCTTATAGTTTCTAGCATTTTGATATTATTGAAATCCAGAATGGATTAGCATTTTATTTTATAAAATATATATCAATTGATGTCTATCTTTTCATCAGTTTTAAGCACAGATGCTATTGCTTTTTGATTATACGTATCTGATGAAATTCAATTTATGTATTTTCCTTTGAGACATTTTATTATAAGTTTTCTTTTCTAATGATCAAACTATAAAGTTCTCTTCTTTTTAAAGTTTTCCATATTTTACAAGGGCTTGTATAATACCTAGTATAATATACTAGATAGACAGCATCATTTTACACCTTGCTAGTCTATTAGTGATTGATAACCCAGAAGATCACACTGCTCAGTGAAAAATTACTCTTTTCCTCCCCTTTACCCTACTCAAGTTCAGGTCATATCGACCTTTACGGTAGAATCACACTACATGACATTATCCCTCTCCTCATGCATTTTATGTTTCTGTGGAATTAAAGAGGAAAGGCTTTGGGACCATGACCATATTCGGGAGATTGATGCATCTGAAAAGTAATGATAGGCTCATTCTCATAAACCACATATTGATGCCACATATAGATATGTTGTCACTTGGGTCAGTGTGTGAGAATGTGATTCTTTTCAGTGATGTTATAAATCCTGATCCTTTTAAAAGTATATTTGCCAAAACTTTAGCAGCTATGACTACCACTATTGTGCAATTTCAAACAGGCTCCTAAAAGCCATTTTCAGTATTTTTTTCAGCTTCACATGTAGTGTGTATGTATAAAATATATACACACATACATACAAGTATATATTCAATTGCGCTTTCTTAGTATTTTCTAAGATCTTTTCAGTGGAGGGTCTCTTTCATAAGGCCATGTTTATAGAATATAACCCCAGATGCTTACGATTTGAGGAAGACAACGGAATCTAACATTCTGAGAAAAACTTATTTCCTTGTTTTGCCCCTGAGACTGCATAAACTAGGGAGGTCAAAGTGATTCAGCTAACAAGTTTGCTTTTTGTTTGTTTGTTTTTGCTTTTTAAGCAAGAGAGAACATTTGCTAAAGGGAACAAATTATCCTTCCTACTGGTTACAGAAGTATTTAAATAAGGCAATGGGTATAGTGCATACTTCTACTAAAATGAAATCCATCCAGGTATGTTTTCAGGAAGAGTTCAAGAATAAAAGTAAAATTAAAAATCCAAAACAGTCTCAGTCCACTTTTGCTATGAATCAAGAGAATTTACCATTTTTTCTGGTTCAGAGCTCACTCATGAAAAGAAAGGGATTTCTTCAAGGCCAAAGGCAGTGTGTATAGGTGTCAGCCTTCAGTTACTATGTCCCTGGGTGGTAGTGTCAGCATGACCTATTAATCCTGAAAATTTTCAAGTAACTATCAGGGTAATTTAGGACCTAGAATAGATTGCATGTTCAGTGATGGGACTTACATGCTGTTTCTCCTTTCCCTCCCTGCCTGTATCCTTTTTGATTTTAACAGCACTCGAAAACAAAATTACATGATGAATTTTTCACGACAACATGGGCTCAGGCACTTCTACAACAGAAGACGAAGGTCACTTAGGCGATACCCATGAAGAGTCAAAAAGTTTTTTTTTTTTCTTCCAACATCCAATGTGTTGCTCTCCATTCTTTTAAATCTCGCACTGCATCTGATATCAGGAAATATCTGTGAAGGACTTGGTGATTAACTGAAAGCCCTTCTCAAGACCGAGTGTACACCACTTTCCCACACTGTGAACTAATGACAAGTGACTTATTTGCTCATAAGTAAATGTCTTCATGTTGATGTGTCCGTGAAAATTGTGATGCTGTTGTAATATCAGTTACAGTGGCAGTATTGAGAATAAGAGATAGTTTAACAAAAAAATAAAGTTTAAGCACAAAAATTTAAGAGATTTTATGTTTAAAATGCCATTTAGCACAGTATTTAACATTCTTGGTCACAAAGCTATTTAAGTGGACTGTATTTCAGCTATGTATCATGTTTTATATGATTAAATTATCATTGTTTGTCCTTTATGTATTCTCTTCTATGATATAACACATTGAAACTGTATTTACTTGTTATGTTGCAATATTTTGCTGCTGAATTTTGGGCTACTTATATTCTGCAGAAAGTTAATTGAAATACCTATTCAAGAAGATAGTTGTAAAGATATTGTATCTCCTTTAATATACTCCTTAAAAATGTATGTTTGTTTAGCGTTGTTTTGTGGATAAGAAAAATGCTTGACCTTGAAATATTTTCTACTTAAAATTGTGGATGAAGACCCTATCTCCCACAAAGGAGTTCCCACTTCCTTGTCTAAAGATTTTGTTTTTAAGTGTTCTGTGGCTGATTTACTAACAGTAACTGCCATTTTGTGTTTGTGGTAACAGAGTGATTTGTAAAACAGTGGATGTTTTTTCATAGTGTTCTCTTCGTGGATCATTTTTTTCCTGCGGGTCATGTTCATACCTTCTGATGAAGTTGTACCAACACCAGCAACAGTATAATGGCCCTGTAGCCCTGAACTCTCTATTAGTGTAACTGAAAGATTACACTCTAGGGTGAACCAACCTAAAAGCCCATGCTTAAATAAAAATTATGTCCAAAAGTCATTTGAAGTTTATGTGTCTTCATTCATTTTTAATTAAATTTTGTATAGGATTTATAAGCTGTTCAGGTTTTGAAAAGATAATGTCAGATACATGTACTGGTTTTTTGTTTCATCATTGATAATAGCAATTATGAAGCCACACCTTCAATTTAGTCATTTTTCTCTTTTGCAGCTTTTTCTACTAATCACTCTGTAACTACACTAAGAAAAGTTAATAGAGAATTCTGAAAATGACTTAACTCCTGAGAAGTTTGTTAGCTGCTAACCAATACCTGGCTCATAAGAAGTACTCATGAGTTCACTGAGCAAATATTTGTTGAGTGCTTGCTATGTGCCAGGCACTGTCCTAAATGTCGAGGATAAAAATGATGATTGAGACGTTTTCCCTGCTTGCTTTTAATGTCTACAAAATAAAAATTATGTTGCTACTATTGAATTTATTGATTTCAAGAGGATTAAAAAAAATAGGAAAAAATCTTAAATCTAGAGCTTTCAGCAATGGCAAACTTTCTCAATACTTTTGACACCGCTAATGCTGAGCCTAAATATGCCTGCAGTGAATGAAGGAACGAACAATCTTTTGAAGGAAGAATACACCCACTAGAGAATAGTACCTTTTTAAACACTTAAATGTAAAAGAAGTAACTTTGATTTCAGAGTATTTTCCTACCATGGCCCACGTTAGTCATTTTGTTTATGCATTCATTCATCGAGTATCTATTAAGTAATAATACCATGTGCCATGCGTGGGAAAAGGCACTAGAGATGCAATGGAGAACAAAAGGAAACATGATCTCTGCCTTAAGGAAATTCACAGTTTAGTGGAGGAGGAAGATATTTACCAATAATCACACAAATAAACTTATTATAACTGTGTAAATGCCTCATTAAGCAATAAACATTCTTTTGATAAGCATCTATTAAATATCTATTACTATACCAAGATACATTATTTGGGAAACTATAATGAATGAAACATGCTTCTCTTCCTCAATTTGTAGTCTAGGCAGAAATTCAGAAATACCAACTAATACATACAATATAATGAAAAAAGTGCTGCCTATATAGAAGTAAATTTTTGATCTAATGGGCACGGGAAAGAGAACAGTCTATGAAAAGCCTACAGATAATAATCATACTTAGTGATAAAAACCTTACTGCTTTCCCCCTAAATTCAAGAACAAAACAAGAATATTTACTCTCACCATTTCTATTCAACATGGTACTAAAGATTCTCGCCAGAGCAATAAGGTTAGAAAAAGAAAGAGAAGGCATCCAGATTCAAAAGTAATAAATAAACTGTCTTAGTTGGAAACAAACTGATCATGTGTAGAGAAAATCCCATGGAATCTATGCAAATCTACTAGAACTAATAACTGAGTTTTGCAGGGTTACAGGATACGAGATCAATATACAAAGACCAATCGTATTTCCTCATTGTTAATGGGAATGTAAATTAGTATAGCCATTGTGAAAAATGGTATGAAGATTCCACAAAAGACTAAAAATAGAACTACAATACAAAACAGTAATCCCACTTCTGGGTATATGTCGAAAGGAACTAAAATCATATCAAAGTGATATCTACACTCCATGTTCACTGCAGCACTATTCGCAATAACCAAGGTATCAAAACAACCTAAATGTCCATCAATGGATGAATGGATAAAGAAAATGTAGTATATATATACATAATTGAATACTATTCAAACTTCAAAAGAAGGGAAATCTTGTCATTTGCAACAACATGGTTAACCTGGAGGACATTATGCTAAGTGAAATAAGCCAGGTACAGAAAGACAGACACTATTAGATTTCACATATAAGTGAGATCATATAAAGTTGAACTCATAGAACTAGAGAGCAATGGTTACCAGTGGCTACGGGACAGGAGTTGGGGAGAAATAGAGTTTTTGATCAAAGGATACAAAGTTTCAGGTAGGAGGAACCAGTTTTGAGATCCGTTGCACAGCAGGGTGGCTATAATCAATAATAATGTATTATGTATTTTTAAATAACTACGTAAATTTAAAATGTATCACCATAAAAAATGATAGATAAGCAAGGTGATGGATATGTTACTTAGTTTAATCATGTCACATTGTACACATGTATCAAAACATTACATTGTACCCCCTAAATGTATACAATTATGATTTATCAAAAATATTAATACGGGCCGGGCGTGGTGGCTCACGCCTGTAATCCTAGCTCTCTGGGAGGCCAAGGCGGGCGGATTGTTTGAGCTCAGGAGTTCGAAACCACCCTGAG